TTACTTGAAATACCGAATCGACTCCCTCAACTTCCGTTGGAAGGAGTCAGACATCTTAGTATCCATACATATTCATGGTTCAATTGATAGATTTGATATTTCTATAAGATAGATATCGTCACATGAGTATCTAGACCTAAGTAGACGTATTCAAGAAACCTGTCTGGAAGCGATTGGATGGCAATTGGATGGTATTTGCTAATAGATATTAAAAGTAATTGACGCAAAAGTCAGATGAGGTGAAGAGCATACAACCTACTGGGGTGATAGTCATCCATGCTGCCATTACAATCGGAGGAAGAGGAAGAGAGGGAATATTGAAGAAACAGGAAGTGGGATTGTACATGCATACATGTATATACGTACTTGGAATTTCTCCGTCGCTCAATTACAAGGTGCACCGTCTGCACAGATGCATAAACGTTGTCATCGATTTATTGTACTCTCTAGTGGAGATAAAAATAGAAATAAAAATGAAAACATAAGACATGTAATGTAGGTAAAGATGGAAAAATAAATGCACAAACGGGGAGTCGAACCCCGAGCTCAACCTTGGAAGGGTTGAATGTTACCGCTACACCATTTGTGCTTCTGATAATTACCGTGTTGGTAACATACATTATAATGATGTTTGCTAATTCCCAGGTCAAGGTTAGAATGTAACTACAAATGGCCAATCAAACCACTTCGAGTTCTCGCCAAACTAGTCCTATTTAGGTAAATAGCCGGGTATAATTTAAAGTGAAGTTTACATACAATAAGAAGCTAAAGGAGTCCTAGGTATCAAAGTCACTTTAGCATATTTGATACATCACAATTCCAAAGTCGGGTCTAGAAGTCATATACAGGCAATAGTGAGCTCCTAAGGCTTCCAAGTTGTATTAGGCCGCCATGAGATCAGAAAGGCAATAAAAATGTTCGATCAAGTACTAGCGTAGGGGCTAGACTGAAAGACTGCCTCGCAGCATCAGATCACAGCCTAAAACTACCTAGATAATAAATTGGCAGCGTATTGGCAGCGTCACTATGACCGTGGATTGAATGGTGGACGAGCGGATAACACATTTGGAGACTTTTGCGAATTCGACATATCACAAAATCACCAAAACTTGAGGGACCACGCGGCTTCGATAAGGGGCAGCTTCTAACGAATGAAGACATCCTAAAACATGCCGCCCTAATCGTGGAAAGGAGAAAGTATGATAGACATGATAAACCGATCGTTGTGACCTATCGTTTCAAGCGCTTGTTTTTTCTCGATTTCTCGATCGTTGGGAAATGGATGATCGGGATGGGCTTTTAGGATTTGGCGACGGGTTATAGTAGGTGCGATATACCATACATCCGCGATGATCATGCTACTACAGGCAGGTAGCGTTCGGAATATCATTGACGAATAGCACCTAAGGCGGGCTGGACGGGCTGGACGGGCTGGCTTTCTTGAATCCCATCTCTCAAAAGATGGAAATCGATGGAAAAACGAGTTCGGCAGCAGGAATCGGGTCTGCATGGTGTGTCTCACCCTAGTGGCATCTGCCTTCATTCGATTGGAAGCACGGAATTTGTCCTCGCCTGACTTGGCTCTGGAAGGAGTCGAATTCGGCATTTCTACGGATTGTGCGGACCATGTCGGCAATGCGTGATGGAGTACGGTCCGGCTCACATGTGATCAGGCTGGCTGCCTAGCTACCTTGAGGGTCAAATGATAGGTCGGATGTGAGAGAATAACAGTCCGAAAAGTAGGACAATTGTAGAGAGGTATTCGGAGTCCCACTGCTTTTGTCACTTCCTTCGAAATCCTTCAGAGTCCTGACGTTAGACGATCTAGCACCAAACAATATCAAAACCTACAGTCGATGCTTGTACGAAATACCAGGGAAGAGTTGCACAGGGCCAACCATATGGATAACAAGGTAGCTGGGTATTTGGTATGGAATGTTCTAGGATGTAAACGTAACAAGATACACATCCTTGGGGGAATGATTCAATTCATTGGCCTACCAAACTTATGTGGAAACCCCTTTTTTTCAAATTTGTTGGCAAGAAAACATTGTGTTCAGTTGGTAAGTTGATAAAACACATAGGTTAACATGTATTCTAAAAAGCACTCTATTACAATCGATTTAATAGAATTTGCTACAATATGTCATTATTTTATCTTCGTATTCAATGTTGTTGAGTTTATAAGGATTGGTAAATTGAGCGTTGTTTTTGTTCCGGCGGAATATATCGGTTATTGGCTGAGCCAACTTCATATGTCAAATAAACACCATTTTGGCAACAGTGCATACAACTGTCGAGTTTAATCAAAGGCCAAGATCAAAATCACATAAACTTTACTCTTCACAATGTGTCAAGGCCTGATGTTGCTATCTAGGTAATTAGAGACATACATAGGTTATGGTCTCCTTAACTGGCCTGAGTCGACAGACCCTTCGGAAGACAACTCGCCGGACTCGCCGGACCAAATCCTGTACAGATGAAAATACCTTCAGCTAATCGGAACCAAGCCACTGTAGTGCCAACAGGCTATTGCATACGGTAAGATGTATTCAGGGGGTTCTTGCAGACTCGAGCCAGTCATGGCAATAGACTTAAGACATGCATTCACGACTCCAAAGATTTGGAATAGACATAAGCCAAGAGAGAAACGTTGCTTCATATTCACAGATGACCTTGTATAGGGAACAGAGAGGAATCTTACTTTGCTATGCCTCATCTACAGTTGACCGCGTGGATCGTGGGATGCTTCGTAGAGGTCCTGCAAACACTTAAAACTAAAATTGTAGCAGATGCTATCGACATGTTCATATAGAAATACCATACTTGTGCTAAGTTTAAGAGGTACCTACCTGCGTATTCAATTATTAATAGCATAGAGCCTACCTATATTGAAAGACGACGAAAGATTCATGTCGTCACTTTCATTATACGAGAGTAATCTAGGCAGTTAGGCTTTTGATCAACACAGAAATATGGATGTCTTCTCTCATTTTGTCGTACCCATGTGCCTCAATACTGCATTACCTATTTCGAATATTGGAATCATGATACCAGTCATTTCACACGTGAGGTTTATCACCTGATGATTACTATTGTTGAACATAATTTCCTGTTATTTGTTGGAGAATGGTTGATGCAATGGGGATAGCGATGAACCAGATGAAATCATATTGGAGCCCAATTGACAGCTTTTCATTATGTGACTACATGTAACATGCAGGAGTTCGTAATCTTCATATAGGTAATTATCATCTTACTGCTTCTGAGATGGTAGAGTAAGGCGGTCAGGCCCTCAACTTGGTCATATTCCACTTTTACGTGCGTGGCGGTGTGAGCCTTGTACTCCATTTTTGAAGTAGAGCCATATGTTTGGCATGTGATTTAGTTTGTAGAAAGGGCCCTAATATGATAACTAATTTTACTATACGATAAAATTTGTGTGGTGTATTTCCTGGTCAACGACTACCTAATTAGGTCCTAGGTCTGAATCGTCATACACAGTTGCCACTGGATGATTACACTTCAAACACGAATATCTAGCACTTGGTGCATACCTAATAAATATTAAAGCAAAAGTGGAAATCAACATGAGTATTATTACATTGGTAGAATCGAGAGTAAGTACGTGGTTAAAATAATATTCGTATTGATATGCAAACCGCGGCGTACTACCATTACCCGACATCTAAGTCTTGATAGTAATGACCCCTTTTCATTGATATTATAGATACCTACTAGATAGGAATTATATATACTAGTTATCTTACGAGAAAAATACGAAGCTTTTCCTACTAGCAATGGTGATACTGATGGCCTTTGGATATCTCTTTGAGCTAATATATGGGGACCTTCCGCATCATAAAGACTTATGCCTTTCTCAAAAGAGGCTTGATATCTCGTGAGAGATTAAATACTCTAAATATTCATTCTTCGTATCATGTTTATTGTCATGATACTATAATAGATCTGAGAAAATTCACGGTACACACCACTCTCAAAATACTTAGGGGTAAGTGAAGCTCCATCGGTGTACATTGTAAAAGTCCTCAACCTAATACTTACCTAGGTATGCTCTAATTTTATTATAATTAGATATGAAAGTGTTAGCATTGAGGTTAATGATGGAAACTTAAGTTCAGAACGGTTCTTTGGGAGGCTGAATATCGTGACCCCTATTTGTGAAATCTCACTAGAATTATTAATCTATAATATCAAGTTAAACTCACTAGCCTATCTTTTATCAAGAAGCTTGATATATTTTACACGATGTTTCCAACAATGGACCTGCGATATCGACAGGTCCGCTCTGCCTTCACCATTCTTGGCTGCTAGACGGTTGACTTTTTGCCTTGTATTAAAAGTTAATGTTCCCACAGAACCGGCAGTGTTTTCCGTTTCTTGAAAGTATGTTTATACAATTTTGTGTCCCTGCTTGAGATCTGATGGAGCCACCTCTATATTGCACCCGCCGGAATTAATAATCCCAAATATTTTCTCGTGGGATGATTATTGTTTCCGTGTAACTACTAAGAGGATTCATCAGTACTTATATGAAAGCATTGATGAACTACGTCAACATCAGTAATCTCCATCCTATGAACGCAACGCGCACTATATTTTTCCATGGAAACACATATCTGTCAACTGCGATCCAATGATGAGACGAAAAGCCAAGTCTCATTCGTGTTCCCCGGGTCCTGGAAGGCAACGTTGCCACTTCGGAATAACCGTATATTTTCAAATCCGGGAACGAGTTCGTTACACTCAACGGCAATTGAACGTCCGGGAGTGACGATCTACCTTCTTTATATATTGACAAGGAGACGTCCAGCGCAGATCTTGCTCAGCTTGAACATCTTCGGCGTATAGTAAGCCTCACTCACAGTCGGGGGTTGGTTTTAAGCCGGCTTGGCGTCTTATGGGCAGCTGAGGCAAAAGTTAAAAACGTTGGAGATTTGGGGAAGTGTTGGAGGTCAACATAGGCGAGACGAGACAGACGAGCCTTCTTGTAGGCCGGATAGGGTGCATGAAGATGCCGCTTCAACCGATCAGTGGTGAGTAAGCATCTAATCGCATGAAGATTACTAGGTATACATTTTATCCAGGAAGATCACCCGCCTAGCCAATGTAATCTATTCGAGAACCGCACATCATCTACATGTTTCCCGGTTCTTGGCACTCTGTAACCCTACCTGCAGAATGACGATCGATGTTTGAGTGTGATTGTCAAAAGTATAAATAAGTCATATTCGCCATTGATGATACCATTTAGGGCTTGGACAACGCAATCGATACTTTGACAGTCTAACTGCCTGGAACTGCTAGACACCGACAGTCGGCGACAGGCCAGTGGAGTTGAGCGAGTACCTAATTGGTGATCGCGAATTCGTTACCATGGGGCAGGGACCCTCGCTTCCAGGCCCTCCGGGGACGAAGTTTCGTGTCATTGGGGCTGGAATGTAAGTCGAATTGAGTTGCCTATTGTTCAGTTCCTAGTTCGGAGCAAATTCTTCATGTAAATATTATCAAATGTTATGATTCTGGTCACAATGGCATGGAAAATGGAGTTGACTTGACATAGGTCGCGTACTGGAACCAAAACTCTCAACGAAGCTCTCACCATTCTCCTTGACGGGCCTGTCCACGATTCCGGGATCCAGTCTCTCGGGGGCCCAGTCGATCAGATGAAGGCTTGGCTCGATATAATGGAGCTTGCCCCGAAAGCGCGGTCGTTCTCGGATCAGAAAAAGCTTGATTGGCTTATTTCCGATGTACTTGACGGCTATGTTGCAACCATGGACTGCCCCGCTGCGACGCTTACCCCTGAAATTATGCGAGTCTACCCTGATGCCATCGTAATAGCAACGACTAGAGACCAGGCAGCTTGGTGGAAAAGCATGAACTATCTAAACAGTCTTATGGGGACGTGGTATCTCCCACTTGTAGTCCTGTGGCTACACAAGACCCAAGTGTACGGAATGTGGCGCGAACGGTTCCATCAGATAATGCTGTGGCGTTACAACCAGGAAAAGATCGAGGAGGATACCCTTCGCAGGCACGAGGAGCATCTAAGGCAAGTCGTGCCTCCAGAAAAGCTATTTTTCTACGAAGTCAGCCAAGGGTGGGAACCATTATGCAGGATTCTGAACCTTCCTATACCTGATCGCCCGTTCCCGCATAATAATAGCAAAGGCGATGCAGCGCAGACTTTCCGTGATCACATAACAGCAGGCTTGCTGTCATGGATATTCATGCTTATGGTACTAAGCATGGTCATTTGGTTTGTAAGGAACTGGATTGATCAGACTATCTCATGATGGACAAGGTAGATTGGAAGATGGTGGTGAGCGACAAGGTGTTCTAACTCGGTAAGACTAAATATCCATAATCCATATTCTAGACAAATAATTTCATAGATTACCTAAGTATATTCATACCCTTTATATTATTACTTGATATCCCAGGAGAAATTGAACCGGATGCGAGATCATCAGTTCCACCACGACTGTCCTACCTATATTGCGCAGGCGACAGCATTGCATTCTCATAAGACTTATATAATACAAGATATACCCATATGGTCCGTTTCTACGTATAATATCTGGAATTGACGTAACGTCGTTGATTTATGCTTCGATTTGGTCATGCCTTTGAAAAGTTGGTTCGTGCAGGTGGATTGACGTGGAAAAGGGGTTGGTGGCGTAAATAGGGGTGATTGGGGATAGTCTTGTCCACATCGAAAGAACCATCTCTAGTTCTCCTTCATCATTAATAGATTGCTAAGTCTGTCTCGAAAGGTCTGATAGACCCTTGGCTCAATTTCTCACACCAGCTGCTGAGTCTGGTCACTGTGCAACGGCATCCCGACCTGAATAAATATGATTTGGACAAAGCGCCACCACCCCTTTTAGCATATCTTAATCCATGACCTATACTATGACGGAACACCTACGATCGTGTTGCCCGGAAATGCGCTTGGAAACTAGAACATTCGCTTATGGGTGACATCTGGTCTGTGACGGAGTAGAGACTGGAAACTCGTAAGTACTTGAAATATTGCAGGATCTAACAAGTCCTTAGCTATCTAAACCGACTAGAAGCTCATACAAAAGCAGTGGGTATTTTAGTTCTCATATCCTTCATTAATGTCACTTCATACGCTTTTATTATCCGACCGATTAGAATGCTCCTCGATTTCGACCTTCGACACATCACGCTTCGCACCCTCGGTAACCTCTAGCCTTTCTTCATCCGAGATACCGAAAAGCTTATCCATCTGCTCGAGAGAGATACCTGGTAAAACAATGAGCACACCGTTTTGCATATAAAAAGGGGTAAGAGGGAAAACATACCTTTAGTCTCGGGAATGAAGAACCAGACGAAGAAGAACATGCACACGCAGAAGCTGCCGAAGATGAGGTACGTGCCGTACCCGTGCGCGCCGACGGTAGCCAGCATATTGGGCACGGCGCGGGCGACGACAAAGTTGAACAACCACTGCGTCGCAGCGCTTAGCGCGACGTTCATGGGCCGAAGTCGCGCGGCCGGGATCTCGGAGACCAGAATCCAGCACGCGGGGCCCCAACCGAACTGGAAGAAGGCGGCGAAGATGAAAATGCAGACGAGCGCGAAATACCCGGCGCCAGGCACGGGCTGTCCATCCACGGGGGGCGAGATGCGCACGTACAGCCCGATGTAGAACATGCAGAAAGCCTGGCCAACGGAGGACACGAGCAGCGACCGCCTACGACCCAGTGAGTCGGCCATGAACAGCAGGAAGAGAGCGCAGGAGACGACTTTGACGATGCCGTAGACGCCGGTGCTGAGAAGCGAGTTGGAGGTGCCGGTGATGCCGAGGTTCTTGAAGATCTGCGGCGCGTAGACGTTGATGGCGTTGGTGCCGGTCATCTGCTGGCAGATCATGAGGACGATGCTAAGGATGGCGCGCTTGCGGTTGGAGGCGACGGTCCACATCTCCTTCTGCAGCGACCAGAAGTTGGCGTCGCCGATGAGCCGCCGCTCGTAGTCGAGCTGGTCGGCGATCTCCTGGAACTCGTCCTGCAGGTACGGGTGGTCGGGCGCGAGGTTGCGGATGCGCACGAGCACGGCCTTGGCCTCCTCCCACTTGTCCTTGCGGGCGAGGTACCGCGGCGATTCGTTGCAGATGGCCATCAGGGAGAAGAGTAACAGGGCGGGGAGACCTTGGATGGATAGGGGCACGATGTACTGCTTGGGGCCGGTCAGGTGGACGCTGACGGCGTAGTTGCCCCAGAACGCTATCATGCCGCCGGTGACGATGAACATTTGATACAAGCCGGTTAGCAGACCACGGATGGCACGAGGCGCATTTTCGGTAACGTAAATTGGGTTGATGACACTGGACGCGCCGACACCAAGACCTAGGTACGAATTTACGGGTTAGCACGTGAAATGATTTCAATTCGTATAAGAAAGGTAACGAAGGAACTTACCAGAGATGAATCGGCCAATGTACATCGGCTCAAGGTGACCAGACGCAGCAGCCTGCATGGCTACACCAGACAGGGTAAAGAGAGCAGCAGCCATTAAGCACGGTTTGCGACCGAAGGCATCGGTTAAGGGGTAAGCTGCGAGAGAGCCTACGAAACACCCAGCTTGCAACACGGAGACGATGTTTCCTTGAAGATTGGCTGCCGCGACATCATCTTTGCTTCCTAAACCATACGCGCTGTTGTGAAATACGCGTTAGAAGCTGTCCTAGACTCAATAGCGACAAACTGTCAACGTGTAGGAAGAACATACTCTATGAATGAGTCAAGGTTAATAACACCGCCGATCACACCGCTATCCCATCCAAAAGACATGGCGCCGAAACAGGCCTAGAAGGGAGCAATTGTTAGTATCCCAGGCAAGTTATTACGAAACATCGAACACCCACGGAACAAGCCAAGAGATAAACCCTCCATCCGTATATCTCCTTCGGGTCCGATTTCATAGCGTCATTTTTGACGATATACTTTAACATGGACGACATGGTTGTCGACTGGCGGGAACGATCCCAAGCCTCTTTGACCAATATCTGACGTCTCGCGGTGCCTTCGATTCTCGATTCTCTCTCCGTCTAAAAAAACGAGCGCAGTAGCCGTCGTCCGGGGTGTTATTTTCTCGGTACGCGAGAAGAAAGGCCCAAAACTCGTAAGACGAGCGGCGATAGCCTACCTTTAAAGGCATGCGTGCTGCGGGCGAGCTGCCGATAGCAGATTTCTCGCCTCGCCGCGATACCACGTTATGGGGGATTACCAGGGTGTGATAGATCTGGGGGCTGGAATATCCTCCGGGTGGTTTTTGGGAGCCCATGCTCTGGCGCCTGTGACGGGTGGGAAAATACATGCTGAGTAAATTCCGTATTCTTCCACCAAATAGGATGGCGAGAATGGCGTGGACGAAAGGTGCTGGGGGGTCACTTGGCCGAGGTGACCCTGGCTGTTACTAGATAGTAACGGCTCTAGCTTGCGTAGGCCCTGGTTTTCTTACCCCATGGGCGGCCAAGACTAGTTGATCTGGGGGACTGGAGTAGGCCGAGCTTGGGGAATTATTCCGAAGATCTGGAGTTATATATCATCGCTAATTGGATCCGCGAACGTTTACAACTTCAATTTTCGTCGATTTCTCATTTTTCTAAGCTGCTTTGAGATGTATGAATCGATATACCGCATCGTATCTTTCAAAATGCTTGTGGATAATAACAGCGTAGCATACATAATGTCTTAAAGATCAGATCACACACAGACGACAGATAAAAAGGACCTGACAGGGTTAGCTGTTGGGGTTGTAGAAGAAGTGGAGATATATTCTGAAGGATGGATCTCAGGGCCGAATGCTGGAACCGCGACCAACCAGCCTGGCTGATTCAGGTTGAAGCTCGACCTCCACTACGGAGATGGTCCTCATTTTAGGCTCAATGCGGGGGAGATGGACTAGGACATAGCAAGCTTAAGAGCCGTCGCTTATTTAGTTTTGGACATCTGAAATGACGAAGCTGAATATTGTTGTTGGTTATTTGTGCGCGGGATTATGTTACTGACATGGAATAATGAAATATCTGGAGTGTATACAAGCGCACCACTGAAAATATGATCCAAAAAAATGATATTACCTGGAATAAGAAGATATTACGTCTTAAGTTGATCGTGTATTCTAGATAGGGGTAATACTCAGGGGTTGAAGAGAGTTGCCACAAACACGTTACACGGAGCATACTATAGTTGTTTATATATATTGACCTTCAAGGAGGGAAGAGTCGAAGATATAACATAATAATTTGTCGATTGAATAGAGTATTTCATCACAAATCCATCAGTTGTGGGGTATCTCGTATCTTATGGGCCTTCTCGACCTTCACTACGACTCGAATTCTACTCGGGCGATACTACACCGGCACTTCATCCTTCAGACAATACATAGTCAAAGGCAAACTTCATCGTACGAGCGCCGCCATACAATTGATTAAGAACAGAGATAGCAAGGCTATAGCAACAATTGAATCTAGCATCCGCTAGCACTTGAGCTGCAAGCAATCTACCGTAACACTATCGCGATACGTTCGAATCTGTTCTGGAAGCCGAACGTCGTCGCATCAGCCGCCACAAGACCCTCGTAGCTGCATTTAGCCTCCCACACCCTTCTACCGGCGCATCTGACATTGTCTCATATCCCTTCATCCTATAATCTACCTCAGCCTTCTGAGGGTCTTATCTCTTCTCGAATTGGTTGAAAATAAGAAAGTACTATTTTATATATATAACGAGATCAGATCGAAATGACGCTGCCAGAGCCCTCGGTATCGGTTCTTGGCCTGGACCCGACGCACCGGAACTGCGTGTTGAACGGGAACGCGTTCCAGCAGGACGCCATCCAATCGTATAACGGATGGCAGTACGCCTGTTTCTACAGCCAGCTATCAGCAGACGGCGCCAAGGAGCCGTTGTACATCCACCTGTCGCGCAGGAAGCTGCCGAAGGGGAAATGGGAGACGTTCGTCTTCGACGACTACCCGCAGACGACAGATGACGGGCATAATACGGTCCAGGTAATATAGGACCCAAACTCTTTTTTAGTAAAAAAAAAGTAGAGAAAGTAGAGGCTGAGCGAGTATCAAGCTCGGTATCTGCCCCGGCGACGGCACCATCCATCTCTCATACGACCACCACTGCGACATGTAGGTCTTGACCGTACCACCCTCATAAAAAAACCTAACTCCATACTGACCAACACCAGAATCCGGTACCGCCACTCCCACCCCGGCGTAGCCCAAACCCCCGCCTCGCACCCGTGGACCAAATCCCTCTTCACAGCGCACCTAAGCCGTCTCCCGGGTCTAGGCGCCGAGCAAGACACGCTATTCAGCTACATAACGTACCCGCGCTTCGTGCCCTTAGACAGCTCCTTGCTCTTCACCTGGCGGACCGGCAAAGCCGGGCTCGGAGATGACCACATCGCCGTGTACTCGTCCTCCCCCTCTGCTTCCCAATCCACAGCCTACGGCTACAAAGTCCTCGGCACAAACCTCAAAGGCGTCCAAAACAACCCGTACATCCACGGCCTAGACCACCGGCGCGGCCGTCTGCACGCGACGTGGGTGTACCGCGAGTTCGTGCACTACACGGGCTGGGACGACCCCCTCGACGTCCAGCACAAGCAACAAGCGGGTCCGAACTCCGGGGCCAACAACCGCGACATCTGCTACGCGTACTCCGACGACGGGGGCCTGGTCTGGCGCAACGGGGCCGGGGTCGTCGTGGCCGATCTAAGCAAGACCGGGGACGAGGGAGAGGGGGTGAGGCCGGACGCGCCGGGGATCGTGGCCTTTGAGATCCCGAAGGGGAGCGGGTTGGCGAATCAGGAGGCGCAGGCTGTGGACGGGATGGGGGGCGTGCATGTCTTGAATCGCGATTGTGTGGGCGGCGAGCAGAGGTGGAAGCATTATTATCGGGCGCCTAATGGTTAGTATCCTTTACTCCGGTCTTCGATTTTCGTGTTATTTTATGTCTGCTAGTAAATACGTAGCGTCGTCGTTGTCGTCGTCGTCGTAGCGACACTAAGATGCTAACGGAAACAGGTACCTGGACCCAGCACGCCCTCCCGCACGTCAATGGCGTGTATGGAGGTAAGCGTGGACGGCTGGCTGTGAGTAAAGATGATGACTTATATCTCATTCTACCGGACCCTACGGCGCCCACCTTGACGATCTTGAAGGCGCCAAAGGAGAGTGGCTACTCTGAGTATGAGCTGGTGTGGCGGGAAGACGGATTCCCGCCGACGGAGCCATTGGTAGATACCACAAGGCTACAGTATGATAACGTGTTGTCTGTCTTCACACGATCTAGCTACGGGTCTGACCTGGACTCGCACGCGCAGGTTGATGTTGTGGTTCTCGATTTCAAGTTATAAGTACAATAAATCTGCATATCTCAATCCGAGGAAAGCTTCCAAATGTCTTCGTGTTCGTCAGATCACATCTTATAAGTTATATGAAATATCGATGCGATAAAGATTCTTGCGTATCAAATGTTTGAGCTCTAATTTAACAATCCGTTGGGATCCTAGTCTATACTTCATATTAGTACAAGTATTCGTGATTCATTACACTTCCGTGCTGTAAGTCTGCCGCTGATCGCACAGGGGAACCTATCCCTTCTTAGTATTGCCATTGCCGACGGGTTGCTCGTCGTCAGAATGCTCGCTAATTTCGATCTTAGGCACGGGAACCTTTGGCCGATTCTCAAAATCAAAACCCGCAGCAGCCAATGCTTGCAAGATGCCGTAAAGCACAAGCCCAATAATGGCGATAAGATCGATTATATGGACAAACCACCAGGGGTACTGGGTGCCCAAAGCGCAATTCGCAAACTCGAATCTCCATTCCCAGGCGTTCTCGTCAAACCATACGCTAAGCAATCCAGCATTCCCTCCAAATCCGCCCATCATACTTCGGACAGTAATCTCCCTTAGGCCCGGAAGACCTGGTTTTCCGGGATATTGACCGGTCTTTGCAGTCTCCCACAAAGTAGTTCGCCATTGACGCTCGTCGCCCTCCGTCTGGTTGATGTAATGATACGTGTCGCAGCCCTCGTGATCGTGCCCGTTCAACACGACGCCTCTCCGACCCATTCCCTGACCGGGCGCGTTGGGGTCGCCGCTTAAACCAAAGATGCCTTCCAGGAACCCACGGGATGCATCGGCCGAGAGTTGATTCTGTTCCTTGACGCCGCCGCCGGAGTGAAAACTAAAGAAAGGGGCATCGACACAGATCCCTTCGGGCTTGTACAATGGAATATGCGTCAAAACCACTGTGAAATGTCCTGTAAACTCAACAGCGGAGGCTGTGTTTATTACGTCGTTTACGAAGGTATACGTCTTGTCCTGAAGATTCTGGTCTGCAGCCGGAGTATCAAGATTCATGTTGTTGACGTTGACGATTCGGAGCTCAGGGGCCAAACGGTCGGAACCGGGATTTTTCTCGGCATCGTAGATAGTCGCGTTGTTCGTTGGGTCAGTAATAGGGAGCTCAAAGCGTAGCTCGTAGGCGGCTTTGCCAAATACACGCTCGAATCGCTCTAATCGCTCGACTGTCAGGTCGCCCGCATAGCCGATATCGTGGTTACCTGCGACGTTAATGATCCTGCGCCGCCAAGCCGCAGCATTTTCGTCCTCGACGCCGAGTAACCCAGCTAATTCGTATTCCTCCGCAGGGTACGCCGCAACCTCGTCGGGGACGCGCTCGCCCCCTCTAAATGAACGGTTCCAGAACCTCGAGCTTCTCCGGTTGAATTCGGGAGCTCGAATCCATTGGCTTCCGAGCAAGTCTCCGAGAACTGTGACGTGAGTAGGTTTAGTCCACCATCGTAATGTTCGATAGATGTGGGCGAGGTAGAAGTCGTTCCCGAATAGGTCTATGCGCTTGCGGATCGACTCGGCCGTGTCGGGAATATCGTCGAAGAAGACATCGACGAGATCGTGGACTACCTGTCGCAGGCGGCTACGTAGCGACGGATGATCGGTCTTGTAGGTGAGGTGGCGGATAGCCCAGGTCAAGTGAGGGAAGGACTCGCGGTTGTAATTCCTGATCGACGTGTCGCCTTCGAGCTGCGGGTCGCCGAGAGCTAGAAGTCGGAAGGGCGCGGCATTGCTCGAGGAAATAACATGCTGTCGCAGCGTATCCTGAAAAGCGGCGGTAGAGCTCTCGGGTTCGGTCTTGTTGGCTTCTTGCGGCGGAAGCGGAAAGGCGCATCCGAGGAATACTGGATAAAGATACAGATAAACAGTGGAAGCTACGCAGAGCGGGATAAGGACTCGCAAAACATTGCGAAGAATAGTCGCAGGGGACATGTAGACGACGGCATGTGGCCGAAGCCGTGGGGTAATAATGAGTGGTACCTAGGATTGGCACTTGAAAAAGAAAAAAGAAAACATTTGGAGCATCGTCGTTTGTGTGCGGAACGTGGAATGTGGACGTGTGTGGAATAAGAAAGCTCCTTCTTACTGGAAGAGCTGCGTGGAAAATAGGGGTTCGATAGACCCACTAAATAGAAGCATGGAAGCGTCGGCTCTCGGACTTTAAAGCGGCTTGGGACCTTGGGACCTTGTGTCCTATCACATGCAGGCATTAAAAATCGCTAAATTTAGCGATACGAGTTAACATCTGATAACTGATATTATTCAGCCTACAGTAGATGGATCCATTTGGTTCTTGAAGCTCCAACCGAGTGCAATAGTTGTTTTGTACCTGTTTCATTTATTGACGTTCTTTTACAGTTACTAGTATGAATTATAGTAACCTTAGTCGAATGCCATGAGTTACCACGTAGGTACCTAGTAGGTACCTAATGTATCTTGAGAGTGGCTGATGAAGTCATGGTCGTCTTCTCATCTTAAATCCAGCAATAACCCCCTTTCCTGGCGTGGGGCTTGTGATCCTTCCATCCAGCTTTCAAGATTAGAGCCTCGCACTATTCAGAAATCACTGCCCAGAATAATCGTGGCCATTCATGACATTCCTTCACTAGGTACCCGACATCAAATCGTATCTCGTGAAACGTCCGCTATAAGATACTTCCGTTACTCATCGGCCGGAATATCATCGGGCTCAGGGATGTCAACTTGAAATTCCGGCTCATATTCCGGGTCTGCATCCGAGGGCCTGAAAGCGAATGCCACGACGTTGGTGTTTGCCAGTCCAATATCGGCTGGGGCCTGCGTTTTCGCGGAATCAAGAGCATTCCAGCCTTGGCTAAAGTCGGTTGGTACTTTGGGCAGAGCGAACTCGATCTGCTGGGGGTCGTCGGGAAGCTCAATCTTAGACTTTCCTCTCTCAAGTGAAAATGATGTCAATCCTTCAGGATAGCGATCCGTCAATATTTCCAGCAACTCTTCTGCGACGTCCATAAGAGGTTTCATCGGATCGACGAATAGGAAGATGGTGTGGATGCCATACTTGAAGCTGATCGAAATATCTAGGTCGTTCAGCTCGTCCCGTTGAACCTATATGTAAGTTAGCGATATCGGACGGTATAAATGCTAGGGGATCGCAAATGATATCTTGTATGCGCCGCCGAGACGGATGTTCGCATGAGAGATGTACTTGTTTTCCGTTTAGGCGAGAGACCCAAGACCGTTATAGAATCATATAGAATGCATAAATTTCTTACCATGTTGTCTGCCGATGAGCAATAGCACTCGTCCTCCAAGTAAGTTTACCGGTAGGTAGGATTGATCAAATGTTCTTGTTGAATTCTAAAAATGACCTTTGCTAAGACCAGTCGCGATCTGTACCTTGATGCAAGGATGGAGCTTGCTAGATAATTGTACCCAAGTAGACGCGGAGGCACGTGGTCGCGTAAAGTGCCCGCAGTCGACAAACTCTAAATTAGGTAAGCATGGATGTGGTCTAAGCTTCGGAGCATTCATTTTTTTGCTAAGTAGAGCTGGCAGGTACAGTCATGAAACGTAATTTTATGCATTTCTTTTCATATATTCATATACCATTCAACTTTCTACTAACGCCGACGGATAATCATCGTTTGTTTCATAGCGCTCAGTCTTTTAAGACCATAGAGAAACTCGTCTTTGCGACAACTCGCAGAGGTGATAGCGCAATTAAAAATGGCAACCTCGGATGAAGAAGTTAGGCACGCATGGACTCCTACCCGCGAGGAATATGCTCAGATATGGGCTGAGTCCCGCCTGTCTATCCCGCCTTTCTTACGCATACCAGCTGCTGCCATGACAGCTTTCGGTGTGGGGATGACTCTAGGTCTTGCGCATGGTAGCAAGACGACCGGTTTACGTTTTAGAGCCGAAAATGCCCATCGGCTTCCTAGCACAACGACTGGATGGTACCTTTACCACAAGAGCAAGAATTACCAAATAGCATTAGGCGGGCTAAAGGAAGGATTGAAAGTCGGAGCGAGACTTGGTTTTCTAAGTACCGCCATGTTTTGCGCCGAGAACCTGTTCGATGTATATCGAGGAACCAAGGATCTCTTCAGCACTGTCATGGCCAGTCTAGCCGTAGCTGGCGGCTTCAGTTTTTGGAGTATGTTCCCTCAGCCCTTGTTTAAGTAACTTCTCTTACCATCATTGTATATCTAATCACTCACGATGTAGATCGTTTCTCGGCCGCCGAGACTGCAAGGACAGCCAAGAAAGGCCTGAAGTTCGGGATTGCCTATGGGGCCGTTCAGGACTTGCTCTCTCTTGCTAAAGGTCGCCCTGTTGGGTATGTCGAGTTTATCCGAAGACATGTCGGAAAAGCTACTCAACTTGAGGAGAAAACTACATGAGGTGCAATATCGGCCTTACGGGCTAGAAAGGACCTAGAAGTTTGCCTACATCCGCTTAATGCCGAATGGTGTTCAAGGAACTCTAAACCTTCATGCGGCCTTATCTTCAACCGGCTCACTCGGATACCTGCGACTACTGTACTCCGCATGGGACTTCCGCATTAACCGCATCGGATAGTTCGACGTACAGATGAGCCAGATAATCTTGGGAATTGCGGGGTTTAACGCTATACCAGAAATCTGAAAGCCTCACGAAAATCGAAAATCGTCGCATCAACTTCGACGAAGACTGTATTCACAAGATATAATCACAAGATATAGTCGGAAATTAACAATCGGGGCACGTGGCTTACACAAGAAAAGTTACGTTATAGATTGCTCAATAGCCCATTATTTTGAATTAGCGCTTTCGGCCATCATCGCGTCAAGTTTGCAAGGAAGCTTGAACAATGCGGCGCGGCCGAGCATTCGGCTTGGCTTAGGATACCCCACGTTTTGGCCACAGGCCTCGAACCGCTCAGAATTTTAGAATTTACGCGCGGCTTATTCTTGCTATATTCGGTTATCCTCAGAAAGCCGGACCGGACCTTGACTAGAAGTTACCATGACTACCCCAGGTACTCTAGGTAGAGAACCAATACCGTGTAAGGGGGTTTGCTCAGTCGACTGAGCGCGCTAGCCTTAAGCTATTGCTCATTCTTTCGGGTCTCGCCATGCCGCTATCCTACGGCTTTGTCTCTGATTGGACAATGGCATCATTCTATTACCTCTTTGCACCACGGCTACCTGCGGCATACTCAGACTCGATGGGTCCACGTGATCATCTACGATAAGAGCTCCCGGTGGATTGGTCCTGCAGTATCGCCGTTGCCATCGAGTCGTGATTGGAATATCGGACTTTCGTGGTGGACGGTTTGCCAGGCTCGAGGCGGTTTCTTGATGCCGTACGATGCGCCCCTGTCGGCTTTCATCATAATAATGCAGCTGAGGCCGTTGCGATTCCGGAGATAAAGATGCCACTTAGAATAATCAACAGTAGATGCCTTCGATAGTTAAAAGTATAGCCTCCCACTCCGCACTCATGCTAAGACCTCCCATTGTTCTTTACTATTGACTACCTATATCTCATCTATCTGAGCACTTTTCTATCAGCTTCTATACCACCCCATCCCGCATCTCACCTTCCCTACACCTGCCCCTATCACATCCATCTTAGTCACACCTACCTGGTTACCAAACAATACAACCTATCAGTGTTAATAGTGCCATCACGGTACCGCAAAACGCTGACAATGGTTCAAGCACTGGTGTTAGGCAGGTCGTCACTACTACCAGTTTCTCTAGCTACGATAAGGCTTTCACAATGCGGCCTTTATGTCATAGGCCGCTATGGCACCAACCAAAACCTAAGGATAGCTACAACAATGGCAACTACGTCAACGAGGAAAAGATACATACACTCATCCACAACAAGAGCATCACCTCCCGCAGACCAATCTACTCTATCTGCGGTAACGTCAGTAAATCACCTTTCCACGCAAATCGCAGCAGAATCGCCCCCGATGGTTAAACCGGCGCCCCTATCCGTTCTTCCTTTGTCAACGGTGCTACGTAATTTGGCCACCTCTAGCATATCTTCTTCGCCGGTCCTTCTCCCTCCCTCTCTAGCCATAATGAACGTTCTCGCTCATTCGAACCGAGCCGTCTTCAACCCGGACAAGAATCCTCTACTGCGTTGGTTCCTCAAGAAGACATTCTATGCTCAGTTCTGCGCTGGCGAGAACGCGGCCGAAGTTCGTCGCACCATCGACGGCCTCAACAAGATCGGGTTTACCGGCGTTATCTTGGGTTATGCCCGCGAGATCGTCCTCACCGAATCGCAGACACAGAACCTCTCCGCGTGCGACTTAGGACCCGTAGCCGATGAGTGCGTACGCAACGAGATCGGCCCTTGGGCGGCTGGCACCCTAGAAACGGTACGGCTCGCGCGGCCAACCGATTTCGTCGCCTTGAAGTTCAGCGGTGCGGGACGGCAGGCACTATACGCGCTGAAGAACCGCCTCCCACCTCCAAAGGACCTGCGGAAGGCCATCGACGAGATCTGTGACCTGGCTGCCGAAAGGAATGTCCCGCTCCTCTTCGACGCCGAGCAGACTGCCGTTCAGGCCGGCATTGATGACTGGACTTTGGAATACCAACGCAAGTATAACAAGGTCTCCGGTCACTCTATCATCTACGGCACATACCAAGCATACCTGAAATCAACCCCCTCAACTCTGGCCTCACACCTCGCCGTCGCGTCCAAGGACGGATTCACGCTGGGTGTCAAGCTCGTGCGCGGCGCGTACCTCGGCGCCGACCCCCGCCACATCATCCACGACACCAAGGCCGACACGGACGCGGCGTATAACGGGATCACAGAAAGCCTCATATGCCGGCACTGGGGCCCCGTGCTTCAGCCCCCCAAGGCCGCCGCCGACACGCCGTTCCCGCGCGTCAGCATCGTGCTCGGATCGCACAACCTAGAGTCGGTGCGGAAGGCGCGCGCGATCCGGGACAGCGCGGCCGCGGACCGCAGCACGGAGCTCGCGATCGCGCAGCTGCAGGGCATGGCGGACGAGGTCAGCTGCGAGCTGGTGTGCGCGGCGAAGGGGTGCGAGGGCTTCGTCAAGGAGAAGGGCGACGTGCCGAAGGCGTATAAGTATATCGTCTGGGGCACTACGGGGGAGTGCATGAAGTACCTTCTTAGACGCGCGTACGAGAATAGGGATGCGGTGGCGAGGACGCGGAGCGGTCGCGATGCTATGTGGGCTGAGGTTAAGAGGAGGATTGGTAGGATGGTGGGGTTTGCTGCGTGAGGGGTGCTGAGGTGTGAGGGAGAAAGACGAATTAGGTACCGAAGAGAGGAGACCACCCGACCTCGTAGGTAGGAAAGGGGTTACGGATTAATACCCAAGGGAAAAGCGCCATTGGAAGAGTTCGCATGGCGCGAGGTATGACTTACGATATGAACTACATATTTTATAATTGCGCGGATCCCTTCTGCTACTTATTACCTGGGAAGATCGGAATGCTTCGAGTAGTAAGGAGGTAATTACCTAGGTACGGAAAGCTCGCGGTTTTCCATTCAAGTTCAAAAAATTAATAAAATTGTTCTCCATGCGTGGCCTTCGATGGTGATGATGATGACTTGTGTCCAGTTCTTTTTAGCTCATGCTTAGTATGGCTCTCATATCTCTCATATCTCAGATGCCTCTTATTTGGCTATTCGTAATTCTCAAGTTCACTTCATCTCTCTACATTTCTATACTTCCCGTGTTTCGACTCTCAGTGAAATGTGAAGTATTCACAACCCCCTCAGTGCCATACCCTCCAGCACCAGAACCTCCATCTCCTCGCGCTTCAGCGCCTCGTCCTTAACGCTGTCGAGCCAGTTCACGCCGTTCAGCTTGTAGTACTTGCGCACCTTGGGCCAGTCCGTGAGAGACGATTGCAGGACCTCGTCTGTGAGGGGGGTGGGGGTGCCGTGGACGTGGGTGAGCAGGTGTTGCTGTATGGCCGCGGGAGTGAGAGTGGAGGATGGGCTAATGAGAACTTTGATGATGATTAGGGCGTTGGTTGTTGCGGTTATGCCGAAGCGCCGGTAGGCTTCGGAAATCTTGGGTGCGTTAGTATATATGGACAAGAAGGGGGGTACAGAGATGAGTGAGATACGAAGAGGACTGGAGTTAAGTATGAATTATGATACACACGTTGTTATTTGGACTTAATGAGCACACAATCTCTGAGTGGATGTTTGGCGTCTTCATGGTGCCGCTCATCTGTATTGTTATGGCCTTATAAACAGCGGCTAGGACTTGGAAGCGTGAGATTACCTATCAGTTTTATATAAAAAAGTATTAGCCCGTGTTATATTCTCATTCTATTTTGATATAAGGCGAATCTTATTTCATTGTAAAAAAATTTGGGAAGATCAAATCTATTTAGTGATAGGGAGTATGATGGTGGTTAACTTGGGGGTAAGAAACCAGAATGAGAAGACATAAGAATTCCGCGGGAAAACATACAGACGTAGCATCGATGAAAGCATACTCAAACTCCGAATTCCGACTTAATAACTGCTTCTGCAAGAACTCTGCGTTGGTTACATCTTTGAAGAGGCTTATATGGACTGTGTGTGTCGATGGGACGTGTTCCAAGTGTATCGTCTCTAGGATTCCTGACGATTGTATCGCCTCGCCATCTTCGGGAGACGCCATGACTCATTGACAGGCCTGGTTGAATCACCTGATAGAGTTGTTGAGTACTATGCGGGCTTTGATTTGGTTGTATTGCACTATATCTGTTGCACGGATCGTGGTTAGGAGCACATCTATCGATCCTTCGTTCAAGTCGCAGGTTGCCAAGGAAGATGTTGATAGTATTCGGATTCGTTGAAGATGGATAGTGGGGTATAGAGGGGCACGACAGGCAGCTGGCTATCAGCGGCTATCAGCTGTTAGTCATAATTTCATCATTTCTTTTGATAGTGGAACCCCCAAGAAACCCCCTTGAATCCAGGGGTCCTATTCAGCGTAACCTCAGCCCGGGAAGATCATACTAAAAGATTCTACAGAATCAAACACCGTTTATCATGGCGAAAGTATGGGATCCCATGTTGTGCTCTTTCCTCAAGATAAATTAAGGGACGGCAAGTTAATTGCGCCGCACGGTTTATATGCAAGGCAGACCCAGTTGCTCGGATCGCCCGTGCCTTCATTAAGATCTTTAAGCCACCACATCCGCCGTTCCCGCAATCTTCAATCGCTGTAGACATTTGATTTACACGTTTTTATGTGAGTAAGTCTAGGGCTACGTGCGGAGCCGGCGGATCTCGCGACGGGTTGGACGCTGGATGGGTAAACTTTTGGAGCTCGTATTGCTGCGCCAGCTTTATTGCTACGTAACTAACACAGCCGGAGTATATCAAATACAGTATATATACCTACGAGTAGTAGATGCTAAATTAAGAAAAGAAAAGGGGTTTGAAGGTGGTGACACCGCGCAAGTACGAAAAAGGTACGAAATATACTCAGTCCTGTCAGTCTTGTCACTCCTACCCTACTCCCACGCATGTGCATACATGTCATATGTTGTCTGCCGTCATAGGCTGTTTTGGGTTCTTATTCTGTCGTGCGCTTGCATCGGCTCCATCAATCCTACACACTCTATTCATCCTTTACCATCCTTCTAGAAACCCCATCATGCCCATCGCGACCGGGGTGCTTAATATCATTAGTAAATCGGCCGGGTCCACGGGGGTTCCACGGGCGGTCTAGGTCGAGATTTCTCCCGCCAAGACCCCGTCGACAAGGCTTGCCCTAGCTTAAAGAATGGGCGATGGATTCCTAGCACTGCTTACATAGGACCCTAACAGCTTAAGGTAGCCGTGCTAGTTTAGTCTGCATGGCTTAGGTAAGTGTGAGTTGTTTCAAATGTTTCCATTCTCCAAGTCTGCGGACTATCATTATGCGATGATGCTGTCGGTATACCCGCCTTGGGTATTATGGTTAGACTGGACTTGAGCCTGTCCTTTACGCTGTATTGCTGTATACGTGTCGGGTATATATGCAGTTAGTTTGATTGCTCTTTTCATATAATAAAACTCAGCTTCACCGCTCGCCTTCAAATCCCTATCAAAGAGCTTGATCCCCGACTTGCAAGATTGACCCCGTAGCTTAGCTCGAGATGAATATGGCATAGGGGGCTTTGGTGTGGGTTTATGGGGGCTTCGTCTGCCGACACATAATGCTCGAATGCTCATCGGCTTTTCTTTTTTCGGACATAGTCCCCCAACCAAGTTGGCTCCTTGCGTCCTGGTGCGTTATGCAGAAACAGGACTCGTCGTCTTTGGAGGGTCCTTGGGGTGGGAGGATCCAATAATTGTGTAGCGAATGACGAATAGGACATGGAATCACTCCGATGGCCCCGATGGTACCTTACTTATCCTTACTTTATCACCTACCTAGGTAACAATCGAAATTCTCGGGACGCCTGGACGTCTAATCATCTTCCAGCAACTCCAGGCCGATGGTTGAGTCCCCAGTCCGATCTCAATAAGTCGAGATGCTTTTTACAATCAGGACCGAGCGGGCGGTAGGTTCCGTTCTGTTAGTCGTCTGTCATGTGCTTTCGTATGATTTCACTGTCCTAATAGTTTGTGGTCTCCCGAGTCTTGGACCTTGTTCAGAGTCCTCAGTCTTGAAATCGCATCTTTCTTATTTTGGTACCGATAATTACGAATCTTGAACCCGCAATTTTCAAGTTGGAGAAGGCTGTGTTAGTTCCAAGTTGTGAACTAATTCGAATTGAGTTCTGGAGTTACATAGTCGATTTTAAAAGTCCGTGTACGTACCTACCGTTCCGCGTTTTCTGTGCCTTCCTGTACCTTACGTACATCCTTATCTTAACCCTGGAGTTAATAGGTGGTTGTAGATATAGCGTGTTCTAAGGTTCAGGCTGGCAACCTTGAAGGTTAGCGCGTGAGCGTGTTAGCCCTAGGGTGCACTGGGGTGCCTGGTCAATTCAAGGTTGGTAGGGGTCGACGGGTTGGCTGGCTGCAGGCTGGGTAGGTAGGCTGGGTTGTCTAGGTAAGTGCTGGGGGGTACCCAGACAGGCCAGATGCTAGGTATTTCATAGCTTACTTTTAGCTATTAGGTAAGGACGTCCCGTCCCCAAACTGCCCCAAGTCCCATCCCGACTCCCGACCTTTAAGGTTTCGGGAAACTCCATTTTCTCATTTGTCGCGAAACAAGCTCCAAACCATTGTGCGCCAACAAAACGGTCACCTCTACAAAAAAAACTTCCACGGGCTTTTTCGCCAAAAACAGCTTCGTGTCGCCATGCCTCCAGGCCGACCGCCCAAACGGCCTGGTGAAGCTGCCGACCTCGACTCTCCCGACGGCACAGCTAAATGCAAGCTACCGAGATTAGATCGTGACCGCGCTGCTCCAAATGATTTCTCTAGCGTCGTCAAGAGTAAACTTCAATCCTATACGAGAACCGGGCAAGCATGCGATCGGTGTAAGGTATGTTTGGTTTTTATCCGACAATGTGCTTGTATTTGTGTGCCGTGGGGAAAAGAAAAAAAAGACACGAAGGCGGAAGGATGGAAAGATATCCGTAGTATTCGTTATCGTCGCATTACGTCGCCAAAAGTGTCCTTCGTCGAGTTCAACCAGGCCAATCATATCATATACTATCCCGATAGCTTTATATATACGTCCTGATCTAACACGGTTTACCCCAGGTTCGCAAAATCCGTTGCGATGCCCTACCCGAAGGCTGCTCTCATTGTATCAATCAAAATCTCGAATGTTACGTGACAGACCGAGTCACTGGTCGGACGGAGCGAAGAGGATATATGCAAGAGCTGGAACGCGAGAAGAGGGATATGTTAAATCATATCCGCGACTTAGAAAAGATACTTCAGCAAAATGGCGTCGAGGTCAAACCCTTCCGCTCATCCTCGACTCCTGTCGATAGTTCTGCTTCCGACGGAGGCCTTGCCAATATGACAAGCCAGATACCGGATTCTATAGGAAAGCCTCAATGGTCCCAGTCCCAGTCTCAGTCTCAGCATGGGCATGGTTCGGCAACTTGGGCGAAAGATCGATATCGGCCTCCGAGCATACATTTCTCTAGCACCCTGCGTTCGGCAGTTGAACCAAGACCGGCGGACACTCACATAGGCGTCGGCGCGGATCAAGCTCCTCTCAGTTCCATCAAGGGTACCACTCTGTCCATTCTCGGAAGCACCATAGATATCGGATCTTTCGAGGCTCCGGATATGGACGAGCCTTCTCCTGATGCTCCAGCTCACTCGCCTATTTATAACAAATCCGTTCATGCCATGTTGCGGTCCGTCGCTAATATCAATCCTCCACTTCACGTCGACTATCCTCCTAAAGCCGATGCTTTCACCTATGCTGAATGGTATTTTCTTATGGTCTATCCTTTTCATCCAGTCTTACATAAGCCCACCTTCATAAATCTCGTAAGCATTCTCCCTCATCTGGATATACATATTTTTTTCTTTTTAGATATTTGGCTCCATTTCGTACTAAACGTGTTATTTAGTTAGCACGCCTCTACGATGACCCTAATTTCAAACCTACCGTGGCCGAAACCACCATGATCCATCTAGTCTTCGCTTCTATATACCTTCAGTACGGATTTCGTAACCGGGAAAATCCTGAGCAAAGGGCTCGTCTAAATGATTTATCAAATAAGCATTATCACTATGCTTTAAGCAAGTGGTTTGACTTATCCACATCCAAAACTCTTTATGATATCCAAGCCTTAACCATGCTTTGTGTGCACACAATGCGATTCCCGAAGTCTAATACGAGTAATATGCTAAGCAACTATACCCTTGGTCTCGCCATTGAGATCGGGTTACACCGCGCTTGGAAGAAGCCAGGCGAAGAAACCAACCTTGAGAATGAACTTCGAAAGCGGACGTGGTGGGCACTTCTTTCGACCGTCGTCACACTGAACGGTAGGATGGGACGACCTATGTCTATTCGGTTGGAAGATATCGACTGCGAGTTTCCGGAGAATATAGCCGACGAACTTCTCTCTGAGGATGGTGTTGATACGACAAGATCACTTCCGTGTCGATACGAGATCGGTGTTTCCGCCTTTAAGATCTCCGCATTATTCCTCGAGATGTTTGCCAACGTATATTCGACAAAGAGGGATCCGAGTCGATATGTTCATGTGATCGAGGCTCTCGAAGAACAATTGGAGATCTGGAAAGAAAACCTTCCTCCTGGTTTAAGACCCAATAGTGCGGGACAAATCGAACATGATTCCATGTTTGCTCTATATGCGGAATACATGTCCCTTGAATTTAGTAAGCATTTACCAGCATCCGACGATCGCCCCTATTTCATGTATTGGAATTCATACCATATATACAACCTAGCTCCTTGCCCTGTTAGCTTCTGGGATTTGCTAGTTGGGCGTATGCTAACAAACGTTTCAGGACTCACATTGCGACACCCGGCTGCTTGCATAACAAATGATCCGAAGTTAATAGCCGAGAATACCAAGATATGTGAGGAGACGGCAAAGAAAATGCTGTCGATCCTCCACAATATATATAGATTAAAGTCTCTTGATACAACATGGTACTGTCTTGCGGTATATTGCACTGCCATATTCTCTACGCTAGTCGCACACTGGGAAAGGCGACACGATATAAGCGCGGTTGAACTGCAGACCCTTCGTGCGGATATGAGTCTCTGGTTAACTATCCTGGCTGAGACCGGAAGTCTCATGGGTGAGTTCACAATTCTGCCTTGAGCTCATTACTTGCTAACAATATGATTTCTACTTAGGGTGCGGTATGGGTCTTCACGATGCAGTGTCGTCTATCATAGACCGTACTATCTCTTGGATAGAGCATGCCCAACTTCAAAAGGCCAACGAGCCTATGTCGCACCCACAACTATCCCAAGACATGCTTAAACAATCTCCTCACTCGCCACCTTACACCAATTTACCTCCGCCGTCAAACCCTACTCATCCTAACCCAAGCCACAACGATACAGAAACGGTGAACGGCTCAGCAAGCCACGTCATCGCAACATCGCGCAGCAATTATTACGGAGAAGCTACTCCCGAGTCTGGGACATATCCTTCTCTTTCGTATACAGACTCGGCTCCGCACGCGACCAATGCTATATCTTACGATCCGAACAACTCCTTCCTATACGCGCAAGCAGCTGGACAAGTCGCCGTCGCTCAAGCGCAAGCTCACGCGCACGCCCAAGCACAAGCACAGGCACAAGCGCAAGTTCAGACAGCGGACCACAACCCACTTACGACGTTCGCTACACAAGCGACTCAGATGACGCAACCAGCACATATGATGTGGCGGCAACAGCAGTCATCCGGCGGAAATACCTGGCAAGACTGGACGGCCGCCATCGTGGACAACCAGGACAGATACAGCGCGAATGCTTTAATGTCCCTCGGCAGCTCCGATCCTAGGCCCGGTGCGAACGTGGACGGCACCACTGTGGGTCTAGGGGTCAGTATGAATGGCGCCCCAGCGACGACTACGGCTACAATGCAATGGCCGTTGTTGCTTTTCTCGGATGGAGTTAGTGGTGCTTGAAATATAGCACCTGTTGCTCAAAATTCGAAAACAAGAAATGAATGAAGTATTTAGACTGGGCCCCCAACGGTCCAGGCTAATCACGTTTTGCGGAAACACTACCTTTGAGGGGAATTTGCCCGTTATCTCACTAATATACGCACATTAGCCGAGTAGCATTGCCTTTTCCGTGTCGGTAGGAACAGGGGACTGCTGGAAACTTGGCTGAGGCATGGTGGCGCGTGGAGTCATCAGGGATCACATTTTCTGACGATATGAATGTACTATACGACAGCGATTGATACGGGACGCGGTATAAACGGGACCATGTTGTACAATTTAGACTTTCGCACGGTTTTGCACATATTCTTGGGGAGTTTGGTGGAAATTATTAAGTGTTATTGGGTGACATTGGAGGCATGCGTGAGCGGTGAGATAGATAGGGGTTGGTGTTGTGGGCTTAATCGAAAAGGCATTCTTCGTGATATGGTTGCAGCGTTGCGGAATATGGTTGTCTATGAGGTGTACCGATTAGGGGTGTGTATGAGTCGCTACAGTAATGGATTTGAATACGGATAAGAATGGTGGAAAGCAGACAATGGGATGTTCAGAATAGGATACGGATCTGGGTATCTCAATTCATCATTAGGGACTATGCTTCCTCGAGCTACTAATACAAGGCGGTTTCCTGCCGGCACCCATAATACAGCCATCAGTGACGGAAAGCTACATGATCGGTGTGAGACTCGACCCTCTGCTCTTGGGATGCGGGCACGTGCAGTCGGCAGATCCAATGGCAAGAGTAGGCGTCCTCGAAAGCTTCCAATAAGGATTAAGCCTACCTTGGCCGTCCATACTAGAAAGACTTTGATATAGACTGATGATGCGTTACACGGCATATAGACACACAACCTGCAGGGCGGACTAGAGACATCGACGCTTCGTATTTCATTGACGTTGCCCTATTTTCTACCTGCATAGTACCTAGGACAAGATCCAGATCTAGGCGTGATCAAGATTTCTCGACTTTCCATGGGATCCGCCGTTCGTATCACCTATATCTCTTACGCAATCTTGATGATTTTCGACAGCTATAGTCTACGATTGCGTGTTACAGCAATGTCTTAAATCAGAAGCTGGAAGCCGAACTCTTGGGATTATCAAATAGGACTATATGTTGACCGGACCTATCTCCTGCATGAGGTGGTACATTGACAGCACTGCCAACTTGAATTAGAAAAGGGAGCTTAGGAGTCCGTCAGACAACCCGAGACACCGAGATCTCAAGGGTCGAATCTAAAAATCTAACCTACCAGCCGACCTACGTAGTTTTTGGGATATATGATGAGCCCTCCTTTGGGTACACAAACTCCAGTGTTGTGATTATACTACGGATCATCACTTTCCTATCGTATTCCAACTTCAGGGTTCGCAGTACTGCAATACATGAGGCTTCTGCCCCAAAGGCTTCCAAGGTTGTTTTTGTGCCTTGCAGTTAGCCACCGAATCGGCTAGAGGCTTTGCATCATATGATTGAGGACCCATCCGTAGGTTGCACGACCTCCGTCATTCGTGCTTAACCACATATAGAGATGGCCCTACGCCCGGATATCTGCTTCCCTAACACAAACCGGTCCCGAGACATGGGGCCGAGTCTACTACGGACGAAATGCCGAAAACATATCCTTGATTCTGTCATATTTTCCACAAATTCTTTAAGCCAATCACACATCTGAAACTTGTACGACTTGATCTGTCGTCTTCTATATTGGACGTTGGAGCTCAAAATCGTCCACATGGGTCATTGCACATCATGAGGCTATGGCTCGTGGGTAGTCTTTGTGTTTGCACACATGTCCGCATACATATCTAAGTCTGACTGAGTCTTCACAAAGATACCTACCTACCCAAAAGTCTTATGCTGTAAAGGGTCGGAGAGGAGTGAGCGCCCGAACGTAAGGGGCTACAACAAGTCCGACAATCCGTGGGACTGGAGAACCTGCCAGAGCCTTGGGATGAGAAATAGTGATAGCCTCGGTGGCAGAAGACCACGAGGCTTTTGACGTTCCTCATGTGTCTTCTCAAAATGGTTATTCCAACGTCTCCATGTTTAACGAGACGAGAAGCCGGGAATTACTACCGACCTCGGAAAGGACAAGAAGTGACTCAGTTTATTTGTTCATGATTGCGTATCCATATCTATCAACAGAAGAAAGACTGATGCCATTAGATACCTATTATTCTTCTATGTGAATTGGATGTGACACTCGAACCTGAACTCCTACATCGCACCTAGGTCTAGAATATCGGGCCTCGATTTCGAGGCCGAGACAAGACCTGATCCGACCAGAACCCATTCTATATAATATCCTCCACAGATCGTCTCAACAACTCACACAAGGCCTCCGCTAAACCCCAGAGACCAAATCAATTCCTGCATTGATCATATTCTCCAGATAAAATACCCACAGGAACTCCAGGAAACTTAAGTCTGACCTGTACACAATCAATATAATAAAATAAAAAAATCACCAGAAACTCAATATTACCTGAGTAACTCCACCTCCATCACCTCTACCATACTCTCACCATGCGTTCCTCAAGCCTCCTCGCCATCACCTTCGCCCTCTACGGCGCCGTCCTCGCGGCCCCTCCGGCGACATCGCCCACCACCACACAGGCCCCGGCACCGAACGCGGTAGAGTCTGCGCACGCCGGCAACACGCCCGACTGTACCTCGATCGAGCATTACTGCAAGACCTGCAGTTCAGAGTAAGTTTATATTTCCCCAACTACTCCCCTAACGCTCTTCTCCTCTCCTCTCCTCTCCTCTCCTCGTACCCTCTACAAGCAAGAACGATAATGAAAGAAAAGGTCAAGAATATATAAATATATATGTGCTAACTTTTGTCCCGCGAAGCGACTTCAACTGCGAGACCGACCCGAACTGCGAGTGGTGCCGCGCCCACAGCGCCTGGTACACCTCCAGCAGCACGAGCTCAACCTCGCCCTCGTCCTCGTCTCCGACGACAATGACAACCACAACCTCCACGTCAGCGAGTTCGTCCGGCAAATAAGCTGCTTGCAAATATCTCGGCCCTTAATGCAACGAGAGGAGCATATGACAGTCGGAAAGACAGCTTGAGAAAATACGGGATGGAAAGCGTTTCTCTACTTACCACTTGCAATTTTGGACGGGGTGTGAACTCGATTTCATCCTATCTCAGGATTGGTGGCTCTCAGGACGAAAACACCATCTGGGCAAGGCTAATTCAACATCCCCATGGTATTGGCACAAGGATAGTCCCATAGTGAATCGGTACTAAGATATGACGTCTATTTCTTCTTCAGGAGTTTCGGTCGGACAAAGCCTAGTGGGTGGTTTCATGGATGGATGGATTTCTATACACCGCAATCGAGGCCGGGTGGTAAAGCCTCGAATCGCTCACTTATACTATAATACAGAGATTACATTTTTGATCTCGGCGTATACCATCCTTCTCTTTCCCCTTTCTCTAGTCTTCTTCGTTCATTTTCCCATATCTTTCAAGTCCTTCGAGAACTTTTCCCGAGATATGACGCGAGTAAATTTTTCTTTAAGCCGTGGCCGCGATAAGTGTATGCATGTCAGTCAGTTTTCGTCCCAAACTCGAATCCAGCCCGTCCTATGCAAGTACCGTGCCCGCCATTTCAGAGTAGAGTTTCGTCTCGTTCCGGGGTAACGTAATAGTAATAGTAGTAGTAGTGGTAGTTATGGTCGTCGTGCGTAAGCCCCATTCGCAACTCATAATGCGATCGTTCAACGCCTTCTCCCAGGCGTTCCTCATATCATACATCTCCATAAGTTACATATCTTCCTAATCTAGTTCATTGACTTATTTATTAGGCTCGGCAGGGGTAGGCGCAGGCGCAGGATTATCCTCCGGCTTAGAGGGTAAGAACCAGCTCGAGAACGAGGACTTCATGCTGCTCATAGCCTCAGCCTGTGCTTTCTCGTTCGCTTGCTGCTCTTCCTTAAGCCACTTCTCGCCGTTTTCACGAATCTCCTTCTCCATCATCTGGTAGTTGCGCTGGCCCCTCTCCCGTGCGATATCTTGCAACATCTTGCCTTGCGCGAAAGCCTCGCTCGGGCTAATTTCGCCTTCTGCTGGGACCATCATGTTCATGTTACTCGGCTTAAGCCCGATCAGGCTGCCGAGAGCTCCCATCCCGCTCTTTCGCTTCCTCTTCTCGGATTCGAATTTCTTTTGGAATTCTTTACGAGCGATCGCTTCCCGGCGAGCGAATTCGGTCGGAATATGCTTGCCCTCGAAAGACTTGAGGACTACTCTTACGTCTTTGTATTGCATAGTATGGATATACTCAAGGAAAGGAATTAGTGAGACGAGCTCGGTGTCCTTAGGGTCACCAGTCCATTTGTTTAGTACGATGGCGTTCTCAGGCTGGTTCCTAACATGTTCAGCTTTTGAGTCGATTATGATGACCTTCGAAAGGTCACGGTTCAAGTATGACAAGTCCTATGCAATAGCTGGTTTAGTAATACGAACTACTATTTTGCCGGGAGAGGGGCATCAAGTAGAACTAACCTTGACAATCTCACCATCTTTGTACTTGGTAGCCTCTCTGAACAAAGGCCACACAATAAATCGGAAAGGGTCTAACTTGCGAACCAACGGTTCTCCAATAGCGAACGGGACACTCGTAAATAGTACCAATTCGTAGTACTGGCTCAGGTAGCGCAGGAAGTAATCCACTCCCGGCCTCTTCGCAACCCTCCAACCGTGCTCTCGCGTCCATTCGCTGTGTACCAACATGTCCTCGAGACTGATGCATAGAGTGTAGGGACGCGCGAACATGGGATCGGGATCGGGTAAAAGCTTCTCGAAAGCGGGTTCGCTGTAGTAGCTCGTGACATCCCCGAAGCGAGCCATCGTGCGCTTATACCACAATCCGAGCGACCAGCCATTGGGTATATCGGTGTGAGTCTGAGCTTCTTCCTCGTCCCATTCCCGACCCAGGTAAGCCACGCCGAGGACGGCAAGGACTAGCGATCCGGCATACATAAAATTGGCAAACCTCATCCTCTTCTTTTCCGTCGAACTAATGTACGCAGAAGCCGGGAGCTCCCCGCGACCCCGACCGCCGCCAGATTGCGCCCCGGGTGCTTCCTCTTCTACGGAGGCAAGCGCCGCCTTGTCGGTGGCGCCACTTGTCTCATACTCGAGAGTGGACGGGATACCTTGGGTGAGATCGGGAAGGGAGCTGAGGTCGGGCTCAGATTTGGATTCGGCTTCGGCGCCTTGGGAAGGTTGCGTGGAAGGCGTAGGTTCTGAACTCGGTTTGGGTGCTTGATATTGAGCAGATTGTGCAGATTGATCGGATTGAGCAGATTGCGCCGGCCGAGCCGACTGAGCTGCTTGTGCAGGCCCAGCTGAGGGTTGGTTCGGTCTCGATTGCTGGTTTTGACCTTGGTTATGGTTCCGGTTTCGGGTTCGGTTCTTAGCCATACCTCGCACCCATATTGCCGCGGTCGGATTGGATATTCTGGAAATAGCCGGATGTGCTATGGTTGATCTCGAAAGCGCCGGTAGCCGCGCAGAGCGCATAAGTGCTCTTGACAACATGATGCCAGGTTGTCAACCTCGTCGCACGAATCTACCGCTGAATAAGGACGAATGACCGATGTATACCAAAGGTCCTTCAATTGTTGTCTAGTCGGCGACGTGTGCAGACTAGAGGTCGTCCTTCGAGACTGCGCGGGATAGGAAAGGTTGAACAGCGGCACAGTCTTGGGAAATTTTTAGACCATCGAAAAGCTTCAATCCTTGCATAGAGGCGTCAAGTCAGTCTCCAAATTTTTATCGCCGAAGTTCTACCAGAAACTACGTAGTACGTACATAAAGAATTCGGCTGCGAGAACCCCACCTCACGTCATCAGGTGAGAATACCTGTCGAGTGCACACAGAAATTTAAACCCTCAAGAGGGGAAAAGGGAAAGAGAACACCGAGATAGCTGATGAATAAAATAATTTAAAATTAGTACCTACCTACCTACCTACTTATTACTCTAGTATAAAATTAATAAAAAGCAAAAGGAATAGAAAAAGAAATGTTGCGTTGACAGGAAGGGGATTCGAACCCCTGCGGATTGCTCCAGAGGAAAAGCGTCCTAAATTTTCATCAGGAAAGTAACATCACAATTTTCGTGCGAGTCTATGCTTGAACCCTCCGCCATAACCACTCGGCCATCCTGCCCTACCAGTGTGAATCATGGTGTGATTCCACTTTGATGTTAGCTTCTCGTCTCAAGTTACTTTATATTCATTGCGTCTGTATGTAGAGGGGCTAGGCCTAATTGGGGATAGAGTAGTAACGAGTGTACTAGACTGCCCGCGGAACCCCACTAATCAAATCGGTCTAGCAATCTACTACATATGTAGGCTATCGCCTAAACCCGGCTGCTCCGTGACGCCTTGACCCCACTTGATCAGTCATTCAGTTATTGGATGTCATCAATTCCGTCAATTCGGGGCGAACCATTCCTATTCTAAGAATTCAATCATCAAATAGAATTGACTAAACCTCCTCATCTTCCAGGGCCACCACCATTACTATTGCTACAAGAATACCACCAACCTTAGGTACTCTTTTCATTCCGTCGGGTCTCTACTGCCGGTTCTCTTCCCCTCTCTCTCATTCTTGGGGCAATTCGTGATTCTTCTTTTCCTATTATTCCTCCGCCGCCGATTCTTAGCCTATTTGTCATCTCTGCTCTCATATGAATCACGCTGCATACGACCAACTTCCTACTTGATCCGACAATGGCAGCGCAGAGTGTTGCGTTCTAGAGGGTGGTTGTCCCTCGTTGAAGAATCGCGATGGCACCACCCTCGCGATCCTACCACCTTGTATCTCGATCCCATTAACTGTCTTAAATAAACTACGGAGCGAATCTCCACGAATACCAAGAATTAAACTTGACTTAGGCCTACTTTCAAGTTTTATATTCGAGCATTGACTGTCGCGTGACGTCTGTTTCGCGTTGATTGTGTTGCCGTTTTCACGTCTACTTGATACCTAAGTGTTCTAGAATTCTTGAGCAAAGCAACTTGCGATTCCGAATACACCGACGTCTACACGATGCGCCGCAAGAATGGTGGAGCGAAGGGTGCGCGGGTTGTAAAGGGCCCAGGTCCGACACCCGTTGCTGCAATCTCTTCTGCCACCACTCCACTAAGTTCGGCTCTGCCTTCTACTTATACTTCAGAAGCAGAGCATGATATCAACGATGAAGTAGCCAAATTGCAAATCGGCGCTCTTACGCTGAATAACTCAACATCGAACCAACGAAAGCCGAAACGAGAAAAACCACAGCCATTCCGGTTTCTCGATCTTCCGTCCGAGCTACGCTTGAAGGTCTACGATTACCACTTTGTTAACATCGGCCATGTGCTCGACCTCGACTACGACAACCACAAGAGAATCCACCAGAAGCTAGCTATTCTCCGATCTTGTCGCACCATATACCAGGAGGCATCGTATTTGTTCTATAGCACCCATCCGGTTCGCATATTTCCGACGACTCCCGGACGTTTCTTCAAAACTAAGAAACCCTTACTAGCTCGTATGAAGCCTAACCAACGATCGTTCTTGACCTCGCTCGAACTACGTCTGGGACCAGGATGGAGTAGTCCGCCTAGAGGCTGGGTAGTGAATCCCGCATTGGGCCTATCAGATTGTGTCAATGTCACGAGGATCACCGTCTACGTCGAATGCGACCCAGGAAATGATTTCTTTAAAGGATTCCGGCAGCCAGACAACTTTTATGAACGATTCTCCAAATCCTTGCTCACTAGCGTCCTCGACGAGATGCCATGGGTCGGACGAATAGAGTTCGAGGCGTGGCCAAACGTCAAGAAATCAGGGGCCCTGATGCGTGGACTGATCGAAGTCGTAAAATCTAGGGGACTGAAAATCCTCTGGGGTAAAGAAAGAGGATGGACCGATGCGGAGGAGGTCGAACCGCAGCCGGCGTTAGACCTCAATGCCCCCCTTCTCTTAGAACACGGCAATCCGGGTATTATGGTGGTAGTGTAGCACAAACCGTAGTTTCTTTTTTCTCCTCCCTATTATAACATTGAAACTGCAACGTTCGCAGGAGTACCGGATGGCAAAGGGTTGATTGGTACTTGGGAACTATTTGTTAGGCAATGGTCACGGCAATTCCATGGGTTTCTTGGGTAGTGTACTCGCCTCTCACTCAGATAACTTCGGCCTGAAGAGGACCTGAATTGATAGGATTTCAATCGAGTAATCGTTTCCTGCATCACTGTGTCCTTAGTTCGATATATGGCATTCGAATAAGAACTTCTGTAGCTTTTGGGTTAAAGAGCTTTGCGAGTCATTGGCAGCGCCTCAATCTCTCGATATGCCTGTTAGAGACGAATTATGTGAAAGTTTCTAGATCTAAGATAAAAGGGATAAAAGGAAGGCACCAACAGGCCTAATAGGAATCGAACCTAAACTAACTTTTATTCCTCTACCCAGTATCTATCTAATATCTAAATATTTAGTCCTGAGCCAGTAGCGTACCCGCTTTTAGCGACGTTGAAGCTGAAGGGAAGCGACGCTAATCTGGGGAATGTACTCCAAGGTCGCACTTCCATGTACTTGCATAAAAAGACCCCACCAAAAATTTCTATCAGGTAAACGCACATGCATCCAAGCTTCATCGCAAGCTCATTCCACATCCAAGCACAGCTCTTACTTCTTTCGCGCGCGTATACCCCAGAAAAACAGAAATCGGAAAGCACAAGAGGATAAGCAGGAAAGGAAAGGACGTCACATCGAAGAAAAGGCGGGAATATTAGGAAGATAGGAAAACAGGAAACAATGCCCCTCGACACATCGACCTACGACCTAGCGCTCCTGCGCATCGACGGGCGGCGCTGGAACGAGCTGCGGCAGCTGCGCGCGCAGATCCGCACCCAGGCCGCCGCCGACGGGTCCGCCTACTTCGAGCTCGGCAACACGAAGGTCATGTGCGTGGTCTCGGGCCCGAGCGAGGAGGGTAAGAGGCGCGGCGCCACCTCTGCTTCCGGAGCCGGGGGAGGTGCCGGAGGTGCCGGAGGAGCTGGGAGTATGGGGTCGGGAGGAGGAGGAGGAGGGGGTGGGAATGCGGCGGATATTCTGGTTAGTGTTGTGGTGGGCGGGTTTAGTACCGTGGATCGGAAGAAGAGGGCGCGGGGAGACAAGTATGTTTTATTATCTCTTTTGGTCCTTTTTACACCTACCTACCTATTCTACCTAACTACGCGTATACTAACCAACACCTTCCAACAGACGCATCCAAGAGCTCCAAACAACCCTCGCCAAATCCCTCGCCGCAGTCCTGCACACGCACCTCTTCCCCCGCAGCACCATCTCCCTCTCACTCCACATCCTCTCGCAAGACGGCTCCTTACTCGCCAGCCTAATCAACGCCGCCACTCTCGCGCTCGTCGACGCGGGGGTACCGATGACAGACTACCTAGTCGCGTGCAGCGCGGGCAGCACATCAAGCCACGCGGCGGGCGACGAGCGCGCGGACCCTTTGATGGACCTGAACGCGCAGGAGGAGCAGGAGCTGCCGTTCCTGACGGTGGGGACTTTGGGCGGCACCGACAAGGTCGCCGTCCTGGTGTGCGAGAGCCGCGTCCAGGTCAGTCGGCTCGAGGGGATGATGGTCACGGCCGCGGACGGGTGTCGGAATATTCGCGAGTACCTGGACTCTGTGGTGAGGGAGAAGGGAAGGAAGATGGTGGCTGAGGGGGCGGTGGAGAAGGGTGTTAGTATGGCTATGGATATCGATGTCTAGGTCTAGATCTTCAAGCAGAGGTTGGACCTGAAAAAAAAAAGGCCAAAAGGGCAGAGGAGTTATGGTTGAAATGGTTTTAGGCATAGCATCTGGCAGGCGTTACGGTCAAAGACGAAGACTCATTTACTTACGAGTAAGTCGATCCTCTTCATAAAATGAGAATTTGATTTTTATTATCACTTAGGTATTCATATCAATCGAAAAACATTGCCTAGCACTATACTAACTCTAGATACTAGCCATTTATCTAGAGCTCTTCGTGTTTTGGAGCTTCCTTCGTGGCTTCGGGAGTCGGCTCCGCACCTTTAGAAGGTGATTCGGATTCAGGCTCGACTTCCACCTTAACAGACTCCTCAACCTTGACTTCCACCGTCTCAGCCGGTTTCTCTTCTACTGCCTCGGTAATTACGCCGGCTGGGACCTTCTTCTTAGTGCCTTCACTTAGACGGATAGCATCGATCCAACTCTCTACGCTTTCGGGGGTAAAATCGCCCTCGTAGTGGCGCCACCATCCCCTCTTACCGTTGATAGCGATGATCTCGACCTCTCCAGAGAGCTCCAGGCTCTTGAAAACCGATGAGGTGACCTCGTTATCATTATGGACCTCGAAGAAGGGGAATAAGTGGCGTTGCGCGTGAGCGTGCTTGGCCGCTAACTCGGCGAGACTGGTTAGAGCTTTCTCAGCAGTCTCTCCGTGGGCAGAGGGTACGAAAGCGAGAACGCAGGTATGCGCTTTGTTGTTTAAGCATTCCTTGGTTAACTTGGCTGCTTCGGTGATAGCTGGGATAGGTGGCGCAACCTCGACAGGCTTTTCAGTAGGGGCATCGGTTGAATCAGTTGATTCCGTCGATGTGGTCTCGGAGCTTGAACCGGAAGATTTAGAAGAGGCCTTCTTGTCCTTTTTCTCTGACTTTTTGTCACCCTTCTTTTCTCCTTTCGCCTTACTAGGTGCTGGGTCCGGGTTTGGCTCGCCAGCTTGTGACAGGAACTTGACCATGGCATCTTTCTTCAACTCTCCATCATACACCACACTCTCCTTATCACCCCCTGGCAACAGTACCAAGGTTGGGTAAGACTTAATACCGAACAACTCGTTGGCCTTGGTCTCCTTGTCCCGGATCTGTGCGATGCTGATTACGTCGAGGAAGTCGATCGCGATGCTCTTTAGCAAAGCGCTGGTGGTGCCCTTGTCGGTAAATAGTATAGCCTTTGCCGTATCGTTGTTGGTCGATAGGAAGGAATCGATGTCCTTATCCGTTACGCGCTTGACGTGGTTGTTGATCTTCTCGACGACAGCATCTACGATGCCCTTCGCTGTCCGAGGACCATTGTAATCTTCCACGATCGGCTTCCCCTTTTTGCCCGGGCGCACGGTTTTAAGGGTCGGAAACCCCTTGACGCCCATCATGCCGCATAGTTGCTTGTTCTCATCCTCGTCGCAATTTACGGCAGCGACATGGGCCAGGCCCTCGAGGTTCTTGGCTGCTTTCTCGTAGGCGGGTTTGAGGTTTTGGCAGTGGCCACACCATGGTGCGTAGAATTCGACAACCTACCATATAGACTCATTAGCTGCTCGTTCTTATTGGCTAGATTGTATACTACCATTAATACTATCAAAGACTTACAGAAGTATGGTTTGACTTATTGATAATCCGGTCGAAATTCTTCGCATCAACTTGGGTCACGGGTGAGCTCTTGAGGTAGAGGCCAGCTTGCGCAGTTGGTAGGGCTGAGAGGAAAGCCACGGCGGCGATGGCCGTGGCGGGGTTAAGATTGAAGGTGTGCATGGCCTATCTCGTAGATCGTATGACGGAAGGGAGAATAGTAGGGAATAATAGAAGACTAGGTGAAGCACATTCACAGCTTAGACAACCTTGGAATAAGGACAAATGACTAGAAAAAGAGTAGTTTATTAAACCATACGCTTTGGTGAGTTTATAATTGTAGAGATCCTGGACATGACAGATATTCCATTCCTTCAAGCGAAGTCACATAACCATGACGGAGACAGAGGTGAAGCTTAGCTTTTAAATGATCGGTGTCTTCTTTGCTCGATTCAGCAAAAGGCCACCGTGGAAATTCGATCCAATTCGTTGGAAAACCATCGAAAGATCATTTGATGATTGGCTGAATCGAGAATCCGGGGTAAATTGTGGCTAGTGTCGAGGGCGACCAGGGCGACTCGGGAACGATAAGAGATTGATAGAGCTGTGGCGCGAGCTCTCTTTCTTTATCTTAGTGCGCCGAAGCTGCCCGCCGATTGTGGAACCAGTGACTTCAGCGGGCAGTAGCGGGGAATGGAATATCGTGCCTGATGCAACCTGGAAGCTAAAGATTGCGCGGAGGTTGGTTTTATTACTAGGCACCTTCTTTCCTTAAACCTCACATTCGACGATATCTCTTCTCAACCACGTCGCTTTACTACACGAAAGCAATTGAATCGGCAAGACTTGGGTCATACGGACATCCAACAACATTCGATTTATTTGCGACACCAGCCTCCGTATTTGTTCTAAAGTTTGATACTTATCTTTCCAATTCATTCGACTTTCGCGACATTTTCTAATCAGACGAATATCGGATTAGGTCTCTTATAAAGGAACCCAAACAACCCCACGATGGCGGCAAATATACCTGCGAAGCTCAAACAGGCGGGCATAACACCCTTTATCCTACGCGCAACGCAACTCGAGGCTGCGAGGCCGGTCCTCTCCTACTGGTGTAAGCTCCTGCCGCTGTCGCATTGATACGTAGATCATGTTTGCTGAGTGGTATGTGTATCGCAGGTTACTACTGGGCTGTCAATCAGATCCTTGCCAAGGGGCTTCACTCCATCGATGACGACTGCCACCAATTTACTACGAACCTGATGGAAAAGTTGGAACATGTACGATGACGAAGCATAGACCTAATTTCGCAAAGCTTGGCGTTCTAACTAGTATCTATCGTTGCAGATTAAAGAAGGACAAGTTGGAAACGATGCCATCCACGATGATGTAGCTGGCCAAGCATACGTGGAACAATTTGCACAAGAGACTTTCGACAGAGCACTTCGACCGTTGAAAGCCAACAAAGTCACACAGTACATATCCAATAGAAAAACACCGATATTCCTACGAGCGAGATCACTGACAAGTAAACAGACAAACAGCGAGCACCTTCGAAGCCGCAGCTACATTCTTCCAGTTAGTTAATATTTGGGGACCAGCTGATGCAGAGACGCAAGGGAAGATCAAGTACGCGAAGTGGAATGCCGCGCGCATATTGAAGGCTATCAAGGAGGGCAAAGACCCCAATGAATCTAACCCGAAACAAGAGGAGGCGAGGCAGGAAGAGGCGCTCGACCCTGACGATCCAGAAGTGCAGATGATCAGGGCCGCGCAACCAAGACCGGCATCTGTAGAGGATGCCCCCGATGATGATGGAATACGGCACCCAACAGAGGCCGAAACTTATCAAACTTTCCCAGCCCCTGTGTCCGAGCCAACATCTCCCCCGGCGTCGGCGCCAGCTCCGGAGCAGGTCTCCCCTATAGTACCTCCTGGCCCTCCCACACAAGAGCCAGGAAACTACTTCGCAGATGAACCTAGTGTGCCTAGTAGCTTAGACCTACCGTCTACAACGAATATGCCACCTCCGGGTCCAGCTACTTACGATTCGACTGGTTCGCCGTTAATACCTCGTCCTAGTTCTCATGACCCGGCTCTACCACCTTCGGAACCACCACAGGACTTCTACCGCGATCGCGCGCCTGCGCCGCCTGCTGTCCCGCCGCCGCCGCAGCATATTCGCCACCCGGCACCTACAACTAGTCATAACTTTTATTCTCAACCTCCACAGCCAGCGCCAGTACCTGTGGTCCCGGCGCAACAATACGGCGGCGGTGCACCTAATTCATCCAACGTAGACGACATGGCGATGGCGCAGGCGCAGAAACATGCCAAGTGGGCGATCTCGGCGTTGAATTTCGAAGACGTGCCTACAGCTGTGCGGGAATTGCAAGCTGCGCTAGCTAGTCTCGGTGCGCGGTAACGTCGCGATAGCCTATGAAATGCTTACCGAGGTAGATGGTTAAGAAGCTTTGGGACGAAATAGTTGTGGTGTATTTTATAGCTGGAGTTAGAGGGTGAAAAGGGGCTTATCATTACTAAGATATCTCTAAGTGACCAATAGAATTTAGGCGTTTTGAATCTCACATATCTCGCAGGTTATAAGTCGCTTTAATTGTGAAGGTTCGGGAGGCGAAGGCGCTCTAAGATCCATTAATCATTTTCGCACTTGTTTCTTAATTAGAATCTTAGGAATAGGTCTACCTATTTCTATGCCAAGTATCGGACTAAAAGCTGGAAGATGCCAAAAATCCGAATCAATTGGGATTGATATTCATCGGATTTGGAAGATTTATAAAACTGGAAAGCCGAGATCCACTTCAAGAATACCGGTCTCCGGATGTGTGGCGTCAGATCGGTTCCGTCCTCAAAGGGACTAAAATTCCGCAGACCTACGCCTAAGATCTACTGATTGCTACTGATTTCATAGACTTTAAACAATGGCTTCAACGGGAGCTAATGCTCCCTAAATCCTAGACATACAACGTGGACTAAACAGCTAGTGTAAAGAAGAGGGACGCTATGCTACCTGAACAATGGAATGGCGAGCTGCGTGCCGTACACCTTTCCGCATCAGGTAAACTGCGCCAATGACACGCATACCTGAGATAATTTTTTCCATGGTTGATATCACAATGGCGTGAAGCATACATGTTTTCGGCTCTAGCCGCGGCTTACGACCCTACTATACTACTTCAACCGCGAACCGTCGCTAGAGCTACTCGTCCGCCCGAGACGGACTTAGGCATGTTGCTAAGACCGCTGGGTATTGGCTGGGTCTCACCTGAAGATGTAACAGAACAGCTTAAGCCCTCACCAGTCTCACTTGCTTTTGCGAGACTTGAGATAAATATCCTGATCGTCCACCTGTCTGGCCCTGGTGTCTTTCTTTCATCACACAACCTATTTGTGAAGCTCTCGACATCTATCAAGGTCATATATAACTCAAAGAGAGTCTTCATATCCCGAATCACATGATATACTAAGCATACCAGAACAAGCAAACCAAAATGTCTTTCCCAAAGACCTTCAAGGCCGCCGTCCTCGAGCAGGCGGGCCAACCCATCGTGATCAAGGATGTCGAGCTGAAACAACCGGGTCCGAAACAGGTCCTTGTTAAAGTACTCGCGTGCGGTGTCTGCCACACGGATATCTTCGAGGCGGCCGGCCATCTGCACAACGAATTCCCCCGCATCCCCGGACACGAGATCGTAGGCGACGTCGTCGCCATCGGCAGCAGCGTGACGAGGTTTTCGGGTGGTGAACGGGTCGGCGGACCTTGGCACGGAGGTTCGTTTCTTCTCTCCCCTTTTCACCCTTACCTTTTACCTTTACCCTTACCCTCGCCTCGTTCCTCCTCGTAAAGGAAACCGGCCTCAGACAGTACATGCGAGATAGGTACCTAAACTCTGACTAACAAACACAGGCCACGACGCAACCTGCCGCGCCTGCGCCCGCGGCCAATACCAAATGTGCGACAACGCCGCGGTCAACGGCGTGACGATGGACGGCGGGTACGCCGAGTACGTCCTCCTGCGCGAGGAAGCCGTAGTCCGGGTCCCCGCCACCGCGGACGCCGCCGCCGTCGCGCCGCTCCTGTGCGCCGGCGTCACCGTCTTCAACGGCATGCGCAAGATGCGCGTCGAGCAAGGGTCTCTCGTCGCCGTGCAGGGCGTCGGCGGGTTAGGACACCTGGCTATCCAGTACGCGAGCCGCATGGGGTACCGCGTCGTGGCGCTTAGTTCCGGCGAGAGCAAGAGGGAGTTTGCGATGAGGTTGGGCGCGCACGCGTATGTTGATGCGGGGAAGGAGGATCCGGTCAAGGCGCTGACGAAGATGGGGGGCGCGGCGATGGTGGTGGCTACGGCGCCGAATCCGAAGGCTATTGGCCCGCTGGTGGGGGGTTTGCAGGCTGGTGGGAAACTGTTGGTTCTGGCGCCGGTGGGACCGGTTGAGTTTGATACGGCGATGATGGTTAGTAAGGGGGCGAGCGTGCATGGGTGGCCTAGCGGGCACGCGTTGGATTCGGAGGAGGCGATTCAGTTTGCGGAGGATCATGGGGTTAAGTGTCTTATTGAGAAGTTTAAGCTCGAGGATGTGGCGGCGGCAATGGAGGCTTGTAGTACGGGGAAGGTGAGGTTTAGGGGGGTGATTGTTTTTTAGATTGGGATGGGGAAGGGGATGAATTGGTGTTGAGCTAGGAGTTGGGTATGGGATATGATGGGTAATGAGTTTAGAACTAGATCAAAAGTTGACTGTCGGTTTGATATCATGTTGAATGAGAGACTGTTACTTATGACAAGTCCTTCTTTTGATTTTGACTTGTATAAGAGCTTAAAGGGTCAGAATTGTGCTAACCACGAATCAAGCTATCCCCTCTATCATCTATCCGGGTAATTCACGCCGTTTCTGGTGAGATGGAATAGTCGATTATGTGATTAGGGGGATAGCCAGCCACATGATAACACGGGTGCTATCCCATGCATTCTCAATATAGTAGCATACACGTATTTTAATCAGGGAATGTGCTGATTAAGTATTACAGGGGGTAACTGAGAACGAAGGTATTTTGGAATATCACACGCTTTATTTAATCTGATGTCGATTTCGTCACATTCCAATTTTTATATTTTACTAAATCTAACTTGCCTCGTAATTAATAATTATCTCATCGAAGAAGAAATATATGAGTTCTCATTTCACCAAACAGGACTTTAGGGACAGCCAAACCCCTTGCAGCAGTTGACCCCTTGTAAGAGGCCATCTCCAATTGTTTCCCCTCAGCCGTGGCTTCGGGATTTGATAGGCTGAGAAGTGACGAAACATATTTCCCCAGCCGCTACGTCATCCCCGTCAAGTTTAATGTTGGAAGACTTTCTGACTTCATAGGTATTCCAAGGAATCTGACCATTTCACATATTCGCGCCGCGGAGGGTCCAGAATGAGGCCCCGACTTCGTACTTTAGCCGCCCATGAAGCTGGAATAGTTATCGAGATCTGCGAGATGTGGTGTAAGTAAGACTGGTAAGCAGGCCGCCACTCAGGTCACTCAGGTTGGTTCAGCTTCGTTTGTTCTTTCTTAAAGACCATGTGAAAGCCCTTTATAAATCACCAAGCTATTATTACCTTGTTACATTCAGCGAGAAGTCATTATTGTATACAATCAACTATATCTGTATGCCTACCACTCCTACGGTACCTGTAGTCACCTATCGACCTTTTCTTAGACCTTTTCAGTGAAACAGAATTCAATTCGTAGAGCGCTGGTTGCTCTTATAACAGTCTTAAGCGTATAGTTGCTGGACGTTCAACTTTTCCTCTTTCTTATATACAGGACTCAAAGTCCTCAACCATCTCGATGGTAGCCTCAATCCCAACCCTACCATTCTCAGCCCTATCCCACTCAGGCTCCAGAATAATATCCCTTCTCTCATCCTTCCTCATCCTCCCCCATCTAGCCACCAGCCAATCCGTATACACCACAATCGTAGTAACCGTCGCGCCGCCCATCCCCAGCGACGCGCCCTCCTTCACCGACCACGACACATTCACCTCCGCCATCCTCAACAGCACGAACTTCTACCGCACCACCTACAACGCCTCCAACGTGCGGTGGAACTCGACCCTCGAATCATTCGCCTCGTCCTACCTCTCCGCGCACGCATCTTCCAAACTAAAACTCAAGCGCGACAACGACAATAGCAACGACCGAAGTAATATCGCCAACGCCAGCACCCCTGCAGAGCTAGAAATCAGAGACGACAAAACCTGCCACATGGCCCACAGCGGCGGCCCCTACGGCGAGAACCTCGCGATCGGGTGCTCGGACGCGGCGTCCTGCGTCGACATGTGGGGGTCCGAGGTGTCCTCCTACGACTACGCCGACCCGGGCTTCGGCGAGTCGACGGGTCACTTCACGCAGCTGGTGTGGCGCGACACGACGGACGTCGGGTGCGGCGCCGTCCTGTGCGCGGGAAACGGGGGCTGGTACCTCGCGTGCGAGTACTGGCCGCGCGGGAACATTATTGGCGATTTCAAGGACGAGGTTGGGGAGAAGGTTAGTGGGGCGCCGCCGGCTGGGTTGGGGGGAGGTGTAAGGAGGAGGGGGGGATGGGGTGTGGTTGAGGGGGTGGTGGTTTTGGCGACGGGGTTGGCGTGGTGGGGGTTGGTGTGATTTATATGTGTGTTAGGGGCGTGAGATGGAATATTGTTGTAAAAATGGGATGTTTTGGCGATATAATGAGACACGATGTATGATTCTATATACTGACATATGACTTGGGGTGGAATTGTACAAATAGGGGGGCTGACTTTGAATGGAAGGGGATTGGGGATTGGGAATTGGAAATTGGAAATTGGGGATAAAAATCGGAAATGGAGGTAAAGCCGGCAATGCAAAAGTCCATGGTCCGGGAAGCCAACAATCGACAATATCATTCATCAAAACAAATACTCATTATCGCTATTATGTAAACGTATATCGTTAATAATTCGTTATTACCACTCTAACCCCCTATTGCTTCGTCAAAGCCAACTGCCCAGCCGGAACCCCGAACGGCCCATTCTCTGCTTTCGGGAACTTCGGCGTGCCATCCTCATTCCAACCAAATTTCTGTATCCGCGCAGTCCGGTACAGATCCGCAGCAGGGTTCGCCGTAGTCTGCGCGTGGTACACGATGTAACTCTCAGACCCATCCGGCGACGAGGTAAAACTCGCGTGACCCGTCCCGTACACGCCCGCCGCCGTGTTCTGGTGGAACACGCACCCCGAGGTGTGCTTGCGCCACGACTGGTACTCCATCGGGTCGTCGCCCACGAGCTCCAGCATGCCCAGGCAATAGAACGGCGTGTTGACGCGCGCCGCGGAGTATATCACGAAGTTCTGCCCCGTCTTGGGGTTCGTGAGCTGCTGCGGGCCTTCGTTGGTCGCGAGGCGGATGGGCCGGCCGTACGGCACTTGTTCCCAGGGCTCGTTGGGGATGCTGATGATGCGGCGCTCGGTGAGGGTTGAGTTGATCGTCCACGGGTCTGACATGCGTGTGATGCAGAGGTTGGCGGGCCACGATGAGTACTTTTGCTCCCAGCAGGAGTAGATGTGGTATAATTGGTCGTCATGTTGGAAGTATGTCCCGTCGATGGCGAACATGTCGTATGTATCCAGCATGGGCTTCATCTCGAAGTTGGCAGTCCACGGATCAGGACCATCTCCTGCCAGAACGAACATTCGGTGGTTAATTGCCTATGCTCTCTTATCAGCACTAAAATTCTCGCCTCTGCCTACTTATGGGCTTGGAGTAGCTCTTAAGCGGGAACTCTGGAACCTACAGGACAATTTATAGGGCACATAGCATCGAGTAGAGGCGCCGGATTGTCGCCGTCTGACGTCGCAGTGAAGATGATATACCAAGAACCGGATATGTTGTGAATCTCGGGAGCCCATAAACTCGTGGACCACGGTTCCCCGCTGTTAGCATCTGGATTGAAAACGACACGACTCTCCGCATTGTCCCAGTTGTCGGTTAGGTATCTTGAGCGTCTGAGGGTGATGTTCGTGTTCGTCGTGTATGTGAACAGATACCAATCCTCGCCATTGACGGTGTACCTAGTCATAAATGGATCGCCAATGTTAAGCGTCATAACCGGATTTGAGAAGGTCGCATTGGTCGTCTTATTTGTTCCAACGGCTGCCGGATCCCATCCTTCAGAGCTACCCTTGTTCGGGTCGAAAACCTGAGCATTGACAGCGCCTATGCTTAAGCAAGAAGCGAAGGTGGCAAGGTAAGTAAACAGAGATCCCTTCATCTTGACGTTGGGAGGACTGCCGGTCTAGCCTACTCTTAACAATATTGGTGCTAAGACTGAGGAAGAGGAGTGTTCTGGGAGCGATGAGCTCCCGTGAAATCCGCTCATCTTAAATGCTTCTCTCTACCAAGGTACATCTTGCCATGTACGGTTGCCAATGCCATGGAACGAGTTTTCCCTAGCTCCTGCTTGCATCTGGCAAGGCGGTCTGCGGTCAGCGCAATCTAAGCGCATGCCCAGGGACGGGGCGCGTGATTCGATTCGCGGGATGAAATCATCGTATAACGAGGGTAGAAAAAACTCGACTCATTTCCTAGGGTGATCCAAGTCGACGGCGGGCCATTTGACTTAAACCGCCAAAGCCTTAAAACGTTTCTTTTTTTTTAATTTAATTTAAAAATTTTAACCATATTAATAATAATTTTAAAAGTGTTATCGTAAAATATTAATAAAAGTTAAAGTGTAATAATTATAAAAAAATTTCTTATAAAATAAAATTAATAATAATTAAATAATAATTAAATTATAATTAATTTTAAATTTAATAATAATTATTTAATATTAATTTAAAATTATTATTTAATTATATTTAATTATTATTTAATTATTATTTAATTATTATTTAATTATTATTTAATTATTATTTAATTATTATTTAATTATTATTTAATTATTATTTATTATTTTTTTTTATTATATAAAAAAAATTTAATTTATAAAATATAATTTAAAAAATTTATATAACCGAAATAATTAATAAAAAATAAATTAATAATTAATTATTATATAATATAAGTTTAATTTAATATTTTATAATAATTATATTAAATTTTAAAGTAATAATTTTATTTAATTAATATTATATAAATTAAATTAATTAAAATTTTATTTTTTTTAAAATTAATTACGTTTTTATAATTTATAATAAAATATAATAAAAATAAATAATTTTTTCGAATCGATTTATTATTATATTATTTTAAATTATATTTTAATTAAATTTTTTTTCGGTATATTTTATTAATTTTTTAAAATTAAAAAGTTTTTTATATTATTTAATATAATTTTATTTTTACCGTTATTTTTTTTAATTTATATGTTAATATTAAATTAATCCGGTAAATTAAATTAATTTAACGTATTATTTTAATTTTAAGATTTAATTTTTTAATTATTTTTTTTTATACCCGATAAATTCGAAATAATTTTATTAAATTTATTATTTATAATTTAAGTTTTTTCGTTTTTTTTTAATACGGGCTTAATTACGGCGGGTATAAATAAAAAAATAAAATAACGTAAAAATAAAAAAGCATTAATTAATATTTTATTAAAATTTAATATTAATTAAAGTATATTTAAATTTAATGTTTTTATATTAAACGACGGATCATTTAAAATAAATATAAAAAAATTATTATTTTTTTATTTATTTTTTTTAATATTAAAATTTTCATTATTAATAAAATTTTTTAATTTTATAATATTAAAATAATATAAAAATAACGACGTTTTTTTTATTTTATTTTAAAATATATTTTTATTTTTTATAATAAAATATAAATTAAATAAATTATTTAATAAATGTTTTATTTATTAAATAATAAAATTATATTTTTTAATATAACGTAAATTTTTTATTATTATAATTTAAATTATTAATTAAAATAATTAAATTTTAATTATTAATTTAATTTACGTAATATTTTTTAATTTATTAACGATATAATTAATGTTTTTAATTTTATAATTACATGAATTATAATTAAATAATATTAATTAAATATTTTAAATTAAAACTTCGAAATAATTTATTTTAATTTATTTATAAATAATATATTTTATTAATTTTAAATTAAAATAAATTTATATAAAACATTATAAAATTATATTAATTTAAGTTTAATTTTATTTAATAATAATTTAATAATAAATATATTAATCACTTATAATAATTTTTAAAAATAAAATAAATGTAATTAAATTTAATTAAATTATTTTATATATTAATTTTAATTTAATATATAATCCATTATTATTAAATACGTTAAATAAACTTATATTAATATAAAAATTACGTTAATATTATTAAAATTAAAATTATTAAAAAAATATTACGGTTTAATTTACGTTAAATTTATATTATTATTTTTATTAAATTTTTAACCGTATATTAAATTAAAATTAAAAATTATTTCCGTTATATATTTATTTAAAATTAATTATTATTTAATATAATATTAACTTTAATTAAATTTATATTCTTTTATTATATTTAAAAACGAAAATAAAATTATTTAAAACGTTTATTAATTATAATATATTAATATTAATATAATTATAAATTTATAAATATTTTTATACGTATTTTATTTAATAATAATATTTTAAATGTTTTAACCGTTTTTAATACGCGTTTAATGTTTTAATAAAACGATTAATATTAATTTAATAATAACTTAATATTAAAATTAAATAAATACTTTTTAAAATTTAATTAATAATATTTTAATTAAAAATTAAATTTATTTATTATAAATAATAATTTAATAATATTATTTTATTCGTTTTAATATATTATAAAAATAATTAAATTTTAAATATAAATTTTAAACGTTTTAAATAACGATAAAATTTAAATATTAAATTAATATTAATTTAATAATATTTAATTATAAATTAAATATATTAAAATAAATTATTATTTTATACCTTTAATCGCGTTAAGTTTATTTTTATTATAAATGTTATTATTAATTTAAAAACTTTTATATTTATTATTAAATAATAATTAAATAATAATTAAATAACATATATAATAAAAGCTTATTAATGGTTAAATTTTTATAAAAATTTTCCTTTTTTTAATTATTAAATATTTACTTTTATTTAATTTAATTTAAATTAATATCATGTAAAAATATTATTAATTTAAAATTAAAAAATTCATTTATAAATTACTTATATAAATTAATAAAAAAAATAATATTAAATTTACTATATAATTTATATTAAATTTATTTTATTTATAAGTTATAAAAAAAATTATAATTTAAATAATATATATATTATTATATAAATTTATATATAATTTAAAATATTTTTTAAATTTAAGTTTTATAATTATTTATATTAAACTTTTTTTTATATTTAATTAATTATTTTTTATTTAAAATATATTATTAATTTTTATAAAATATATAATTTAAAATTACATTTAAATATTTATTAAATAAAATATATTTTATTATTTAAACTTTAAATTTAATAACATTATTTAAATTTAAATTTAATTTTTTAATTAAATTATAACATATTAATATTAAAGTTTTTAAAATTTTAAAAACCCCGCGTTAATAAATATTTAATTTTTAATTAAATTAACATTTATAAACTTATATTTAAAAAATTATAATTATAAAAGCTTTTAAACTTTTAAATTATAATTTAATTAAAGTAAAATATTTTTAATTTAAAAATAATTTATTAAAATAAAACGTTTATTTAAAAATTAAAATATTAAAATTTAATATATAAAATTAATTAAAAATATATTTATATTTATTTATAAATTTATATAATAAATAATATATTATTAATTTAAAAATTTTAAAATAATAATTATATATTTTAATAATTAAAATTTAATATAAATTAAATTTAATTAAAATTATAATTATATAAACTTATTTTTATTATTATTAATATATATTAATATATAAAATATAATTAAATGTTTTTATAAAAATATAAATTTAATATTATTATTATATTTTAATTTTTTATAACTTTATAACTTTAATAAAAAAAAATTTTTAATTATTAATATTAAACTTAAAATAATGTTAAATTTGTTATATAGCTCGTGTTAAATTTATTATATTTAATTATAACCGAAAATTATAATTCGAACGGTATATATAATATTATATAAATTTAAATATAAATTTAAATACTTTTAAAGCTTTAATTTTTTTATTATTTATTTTAAAAGTTATTTAATTTTAATTAATTTTTTTTAATTAATATAATTTTAAAAGTTTTATAAAATATATTATTTAAAATCGCATTTAAAACTTAATTAAATAAATGAAATTATATTTTAAAAAACTTTAATTTAATTAAATTATTTATAATTAAATTTAAACCTTTATTTTAATTACGATAATTTCATTAAAATTTCCGAAATTATTATTTTAATATTAATTTTAACTTTAAATTAAATTAATTTTCTTAAATTATACATGTAAAATATACGATTAAATACTTAAATAAAGCTTTTATTTAATTTATTTAAAATATAAGTTTCATTTAAATTAAAAGTAATTTAATTAAAAAATAATTATATTAAATATTAAATTTTTAAAGTTTTAATAAAAATTATATTTAAGTTTATATATGAATTTATATAATAAATAATATATTATTTAAATCCGGATTTTCGGTATATTAATTATATATAATAAATTTAACATTATTTATATTAATATAATTTATAATTAATTATAATTTATTTTTTTTATAAAAAAATTTTATTTATTTTTACTTAAATAAATACATTTTTAAAATTTTACTTATAAATTATTTATTTTAAAAAACATTAATAATTTTTTAAATTTTATTATTATAAAAAATTTATATATTAAATTTTTTAAAAGTAAAGTTATATATTAATTTTTTAATTATATTTTTATATATAATTTATAGTATAAAAAAATTAACTTAATTAATTTAATAATAAATATAATTTATTTAAATAATGGTAAAACTTATTATTTTATATTATATTAATATTTATTATATTATAAAAAGTAATAATTAAAATATAAATAAAAAAAAAATTAATAATATTTAATTTATTATTATTTTTTTTAATAACTTCGTTTTTATTAATCGTTATTACTTTTATTACTTAAGTAATAAAAACTTAATTAAAGTAATAAACTTAAACTTAATTATTTTAATAATATTAAAATTAATAAAATAAAATAAAGTAATAATAATAATAATAATTATAATATTAAATTAATTTTTTTATTTTTATTAAGTTATTAAAGTTTATTTTAAACTTTTAATTATTATAATAAATTATATTAAATTATTAAAATTTTAATTAATTTTAATTTAATTTATATTATTTTTTAATATAAAGTTAATTAATTTATTAAAAATTATATATAAAATTAATTTAATTTTTTTATATTTAAATAAAATTAAAATTTAAATATTTATTATAATTTAATTCTTTTTTAAATAAATGTTTATTAATTTTTTAATCGGAATTGTTTTATTTTTTTCTTAATACTTATTATTAATTTTTATAACATTTATTAATTAA